AATTGAAGTCGAACATTATTTGTAAAATCGCATGTAGCATGATGCCTGCAGGCCTGCTCCTGCTGTACACTGTACAGTACAGTGTACGCAGGCGAGTACAGAATTAGTAAATTAGCGCACGCGGCACAAGGCGGATTTTATTTATTGGAATCAAATATTTTGCAATAACTTAAACGAATAACGTAATTGCTCATTTATTAATGATGCTGTAACTAAATTGTCCTTAGATTTTTTGGCAATTTTGCACGCTTCAACAATCTTCGGTTTCTGTCCAATGTTTTGGAAAATCACGCTAACTGTGTCAATAAGTTCTCTATATATCTCGCTCCCTTGTAACAGACCAAATACAATGACGTTGCGACTAGACTGCGGTCCTCTTCCTCGACAACACGTTTTACTACGCTTTTGAGCGTTTCCGAGCTTATGACTTGCTCAGTTGGCTGTGAATTCTTCGCCATTGATCTGTATGTTTGTGTTTTAGGTGAGTTAACAACAGATGTCTTAACGGCGTTCTTCAACGTTTCAAGTTGTTTAGTTTTACGCAGTCCGAAAGCTCTGCCTGAGCTTATCGGATAGCTTTATTCGGACGTTATTTTACCCGTACTGCAACCGGAAATAATGTGAACGGGAATAATTTTGAGCGGACATTAAAATAAACGCGACCGCTCAATGGTCTATTTAATTACAATTTAAAACGTCCGCCAATATTCGAACGGATATTAAAATTAAAATGAACGGACATTAAAATGAACGCTTATAGGGCTTAACTTGTAGTTGTAGCATTTGGCATTTGCAGCAACTATTAACTTATGTCCGTAAAAATAAAGTCCAATAAGGACAAATTAGCGTTGCCGTTATTAATTATTGATCATATTAGTTGTACAACTACAATTAATATTTTGGTATTCCCCTGCATGTGTCATGGTTCCAACAGGAAAATATTTCAATCTGCAATCCGAGTAGAATGTAAATATACTGCGATCTCTGATATATAGTTATACTGAAACATAGCCTGAGCTGCAACCGTTCACCACTACAATTAGTGCATACCTCAATACACATTACGGCCGGATCGGGATAATGCGATCCTGAGGGCTATAATTATTAAAAGGTGTTCTCACGAGATCTCCGACACATGAATTCTATCGATTCACCATTGAGTATGAATCAGCAATTAAACTACTGAGCTTACATATGCAGAATGATGGATGAGCACATATAATTGCCTGCTTCATAGTTTGTTCACCCAATCTATTCACCCAATGTTATTGTTACGATCAAAGCTGTGTTAGGACCATTTTCAAAAATATTTCGCCATCTATACTGTCACAATGTAAGTTTTACAATGGTACAACCTCCATAAAAATCTAAAAAAATCGGATAAAACCAACCACACTACTGAGGCCCCTCATCTTGTCATCGATGGTACCTACAGCACCTCGACTAACTTGTTCACGCAGCTGGTGACTATCCACTGACTCTATCCTGACGGCTGGAGAAGGAAGATGCAGCAACATGACCTAGTGAATGTGTAAAGTGCTTTGTCGCACTTTAGTTCGTGTCGCACTACAGTCCAGGTAGCGCACTGTAGTGCGACAGTGTCGGCCTTGAACATTCTCTGTCGCACTAGGGTACGTGTCGCACTACGATCCAGGTAACGTACTCAACTGCGACATGGTCGATCTTGGAGGTTTCGCACTAGGGTACATGTCGCACTAGAGTACGTGTCGCACTACAGTACGTGAACCCATTAGTAATAGTATGTCCAGAGCTATCAGCCTTTTAATCATAACCGTTCAATTTTGAATGAATAGCGCCAACTGCGAGCCATGTAAAGTGTAAATATAATCGCTAGGATCCCTTTAGGGATGAGGGAAATGGACTAAAGCCGCATGATCAATAATCATATGATAGCCGATGATCATGTACAAGTTGTGATGACTGATACGGACAGACTGATTAGTTTCTACAGTGAGAAGTAGTACTGCTGATTAGTTTCTACAGTGAGAAGTGCTGCAGTAGTACTAGTAATGAAATTACTAACAAGCACCGCAAACACAGTACTTCATGCTAATTTCACGTCTTTCTCGCGGCAGTAGAGCTGGACCTTCCCACGGTGTGTACAGTTAGGTATTGTAGTGGTGGTCAAGTGATCCTTATCTGCAGACTGGTACCGTGATCCGAGCAGCGTGATACACGAGTATCATTATTGATTATATTTTTGAGACATTGAATATTGCTTAGGTAGTACTACCACTACTACTAGTAGTAAGTCATAAGTAGCTGTACTAGAGTATCACAGTGCTGGCAAGCACGACCGGTGCATTTATTGTGGGTATACTATGTACCCCCTTTACTATTATACCCCCTTTACTATTATACCCCCTTTGGTACACGTTACAAGCCTCTTTCGTGCACGCGAAGCGTGCACTCCGGCCGGAGGAGGCGGCCGAAGGCCGCCGCCTCCGGCAGGAGTTTTTCAGGCATTAAGACTCATCGGAAGTCGTTCAGCAGATTTAATTTTAGTTCAAAATATTCTAATTTGATGTCAAAGATGACAGGAATAAAAAATAGTTATGTTGAGATTTTTAAGAAATTTGCATAAAATACTCGCCAGCACTGTTATACGAAATTCGGTAAAAAACCCAAAATCGCCATATTCAGGAGCCTTAATAACCATGTTAAAATCAAGTTAGAGATCTGAAATTTTTCAGAGCGTCTAGACGTTGACCAAATCGACTGCAAAAAAAGTTTCAGGTCTCAGGATCATCGGGAAATGGGTTTTCTAGAACCCGTGTTTTACGATAGATTGTCGTGATACATACATACATACATATATTCAGGGATAGACGCTTTGCCAGTCAAATGTAGCCTGTTTTTAATTGTCCATAGATTCAAAAGTATAAAAGATACAGCAATTTCCGACCACAGGTCTTGAAAATAATTGTTTACACTTTAGTTTACATTGTATAAACAAATTATTTGACGTCATGAACACCCCTTGATGACGTCATCAAGTTAACCGTTTTTAAAACTTGATTTTTGACAAAGTAATAACTTTTAAAAATGATTTTACACCATTAAAAAGTAATTGAATTCAAAATCTGAGGAATTTTTTATCTTAGATAATTGTTCAAGCATTCTGAAAATCTACCGGAAAGTTTTTCTAGCTTGCTCCTTCATAAAGATATTCGTCATTGAAGTTTGTGCTTTTTTGAAGAATTATTTTATAAAAACGTCAATTTTGCGATTTAGTATTCTCTGGTGTTGGGCCATGCCTTGGGTTGTGGAGCTCAGTTCTGCTTTCTATAGGTATAAATTGTGCATTAGGCTAGTTTTAAAGTTAAAAATCGAAAAGTTGCACACGTGGGGACACGCCCAAATTGATAGAAAATTACTAAAATCACTGTAAATTGCTGTTTTCGTCATTTTCTGTCAACTTTAGAGTGCCGTTGTGATTACAGTTCTTCTTGAAATACTTTGAAACTTTGCATGCTTATCAAGCTATATATAAAACAATTACACGCAAAAATTTACGGCGATTCAATATTGGATGCGCACGCAACGTCCGCTCAAAGTTTGCACGTGCGAAAAGTGAGAATTTTGCTCATTCGTGATTTCCAACAAATTCTGCTTTTTAATGTCATTATATATGAATTTAATGCCAACTTGAATGAGTATAAAGTGGCATATTCAGTCAGTGATCGACCGATATGCTTACCTAAACACAAGGAAATGTTTTTAAATGAAAAATTTCTAAATCGTGGAAACTTCCTCCTTATTAATATTAATGAAGATATCAGTTTATATTTCGACGTTATAAAGTACCCTGACATTATAATCAAAAAGAGATGATATTTTACCAAAACCCATAATCATGGGTAGAGTGGACCGCTGCCAGTGTCTCTCTTTCCCAAACAAAAGGAAATGATATTAATTTACTACTATTTGATTGACCGTTCTCAAATGCAAAATGATACCGAGAATGAAATCGGTCCCTCGCTTTTCCCATTTATTTACAATTGTAATAGATTAAGAAGAACTACCCAAAGGCATCTGTGGGGGAAAAGCGAGCGACCGATTTCATTCTCGGTATCATTTTGCATTTGAGAACGGTCAATCAAATAGTAGTAAATTAATATCATTTCCTTTTGTTTGGGAAAGAGAGACACTGGCAGCGGTCCACTCTACCCATGATTATGGGTTTTGGTAAAATAGTAGGTATTTGAATTTTGTATCAAAACATCAACAGCAGCACTGTCAAAACAGAGAACTTGGTCAACTATATCATAACTTGCTGAGATGCATGGTACTTGCGGCTGTAGACAGCTGGCATGACAAGTACGTAAGAAAGGAGTAAGAAAAACCTACGTACACTTGCAGGGTAATGACTATAAAGTATAAGTATAACCTAAATAATTTTGCTTATCACACGTGTGCCTGTACGAGTGAGGGTTTGTGATATGAAGCAGTGTCTGCCTGCAATCACTGGATGACTATTACAATGTACAATATTTGATTTGCGATACCGATTATAGTGCGACTGCGATACTGCACAGTGGAAACCCGTAATAGAAATTTGCCAGACCATACTCCATAGACGTTCATGCCTGGAGCTGGCCTGGCACTTATTTGAAAAATAATGAGGTTGGAACGTGAGCTTGATTGACGATGTCAATCCATCGAGATCGTTGCTCTGCGAAGCAGAGCAACGATCGACGACGAAGCAAGAATACTAGTTTGCGCGGCGCGTCGAAGTCCTCCAAAACGTGAGCACAAATCGAAACCAAGGCTAGTTGGGTGATGTTGTCGCATTATCAGGCTTTGCTTTGCTTCGACGAGAGGTCGTAGCAGAGCCACAAGCTGGAAAATATTGCCCCCGCCAATCAACAAGTAGCTGCGTGCGCACGCTGCACAGTTTCAATTTCTTTTTATCGTCCGGACTGAGCCAAGATTGATGACATGTTGCCTATTAGTAATAGTACTAGAAGTAAAACACGTTTTATAATTATATCAATGTGTAGTAATAAGTTAAAGTGTTGTGTTACGGTTCTAATTCTAAATTAGCACATGGTCACATCACTATATTTCTTCTCACCCCATTTCTATCTCAGTCTCAATAATACTGAGACTGACTTGATATCTAATCGGCTTGATTCAACTGATTGGTGGCCCTCTAACAATACGAAAGTTTCTCGAAATTAATTAGCTGTCAGGAGTTCAATTTCATTTCAATGATCATTTCTGTTCATATTCGCTAGATGTGATCTTCTGAAGTTTCACTGTTCCATGCCAATTTTTAAAGCCAATTTGATATTCGTTCAGCAAGAAGAGAAGCAGTTCACAACAGTAATGAAGGGTCACTCAGAAAATCTTTTGATTTTCTAATCCTCACGGTACATTTAGATTTATAACAATCTATTTGCACCTAACACACTCACAAAATTTAATCGTTAAGCTATGTACACTTCAAAACTTTAAAATATAAAATATTGACAAAATGTCAAGTAAACTTGAAATACAGCAAGAGTATATTTTTCTAGGCCACGACTAAAACACACTGCAAAGACAGTACATTTGATGGAAATTGGGCGGATAAAGATTGATCGTTAGATTTTAGGCGTACGTTAGTGGTTAGGACAAAACATCATCTGTATTGACATTGTTAAATTGGGAACCACCTCTATGCGTAATCAATTCTCTACTAATCAAGTAAGTTACGCCAATTTACAAATGTAATCACAGAACTTATTAACGGACTACATCAACATCATTGAAAGATAACACTCACATTTCATAATTCGAAAATTCGAGATTAAGCTAATATAAAAAATATAAATCGTTTGAATAGATAACAAAGACCCATGTTAAGTGAGTTCACTTAAATAAATTACTAAGCGTAGATTATAAATTACAATTTCCAAAGGTCCAACGATGAGACAATCAAATAAAATATGAACCAAAACCTAATTTCATTATTGGTAGCTAACCTAAGGATAAGTGGAACTAGAACTTTCTATTAGTAATAGTTGTAAAGAAACACGTGTTCTTTGTGGAGAGCGCAATTTAAATTAAAGTAGCAATGAGATCGAAATCTGTAAAGGAGTTGCATGGTGAACTGTGGAAAGTTCTGTTTTAAGTATCTTTGGCATATTAAGACCTTAATCTAATAGCAAAAGTTCTAGTTCCACTAAAATTTTGAAATGTGTGATTCAAGATATTTCAGGTTCAGATTCACTAAAAATGAGTTCGATATAAAATGCATGTGATAAGTGTTTGGGTCAGGTGGTTCAGTGTGTTCACATAATATATCTGAAGTTGAGTGGTTTGAAGGATTTCAAGCTGATTGTTATCAATCTAAATCTTCATTGTCGCCCTGCTGTTTTATTTCTTCCAGCTTCTCATCTGCCTCTTTCTTCGCTTCACTTTCTTTCGACTGAAAATACAGGTTTGTAGTTTGTACAGTGAATTATGAAAGATTACGCCAATGTTCCTTCCCGAGTCAATTTCTTTTTTGTTCTCCTATTAGGGAAAGGAAAAAGGCGTTGATTGATTGATTACCTAATACCCAAAAACGATTTCATAATTGCATTTTCTAATTACTTTCACGACACGCGATATGATAATGATAGATACGAAATGTGGAGAGTTGCAGCGTTTATCACGAGGTCTACTCACCACGATAGGTTTTATCTTAGAAGGGGTTGCGGGTATTCCGTTTACAGTCGCGAGCATTTCTGAGATGGTGCTATCTGGTAAAGCCTCGTTAACTACCATATTGGGAACAACTTTCTCTTTGTTTTGTAACCACTTCTGCAGCTCAACTGCTTTCTGGGTCAATTTAGAGAGGAATGCTTGACAGTCTTTTGTTCTTTTGTCATCTTCTCCGTACTGAAAATTTAGGAAAAACTATTAACTTCCCGGTGATTTACTTGTTAACACTTTTTTCTCGGAATAACTGTTTGTAAAGAATTGCTCTGAAAATGAAGTTTCGTTTAACAGTATATAACATGTAGCATCAATGCACGCTTCAGTATAAGAAATGTATCGAATAGAACAAACCTTTTCAGAATACACTTCGAATGCATGTTTCTGATACTTCATAGCTTCTCTGAAGTCAGCGTTGCCAGCCAGAGCGCGAGCCACTAGAATATTACACATTGCTACCTGAAAAAAGAAAATATTTAAAACTTAAATCAATGAATTGTTACGCAAACAGACGTTAATCACAAATTTCTCCGCTTATAGCGTAACCATGGCAACCATGATACCTTCCATAAGATTATAGAAGATATATCAAGCGTAAGATAAAACTCTTCAAGCCTCAAATGGTTAACTATAAGTTCCCTTCTCCGTACCTGGACTGATCCACTTCCATGGAACTTCTTGTGGAGCTTCAAAGCACTTTCTAAGAACTTCTGGGAGTTTACGGAGTCACCCTTCGTGTGCAGCATCAAGCCGATGTTGATCTGAAGTAGAGGATTAATAAAATTTTGGCCGATACGGTGATATCTATCATATAACTTCCACGTTAAGTCTGGGCTGAGAGGCCGTCTAAGATAATCACACAACAAATTATGTTGACTAGGTTCGACTAATTTGACGATTATTAAAAATGCCGAACTTACATCGAAAGCAGCCTGTTCCAGATGATCAGGTCCGAAGATGAGCTGTAAGAGGTACTTAGCGCGGTACATGAGCCTCAGAGCGACTGAAGTTTGAGCCAGATTGTGAGCGAATAGTGCCAGATAAACGTAACAGTAGATAGTTTCGTAGTGGTCAATGCCCAGGACTCGTTCACTGGCCAGCAGACCTTGCTTCTGATGCGAGACTGCTTGTCCGATACGGCCGAATAGATAGCTTATGTGTGCTAGGTGTCTGAAAACGAAAATTTGGTAGTACAGAAAGATGTAAAAAAATATATAAATTTGACGTGCAAAATATTTAATGAAACATGAATCATCACATTGTATCATCCTTCTCCGTTGGAGGTAACTGAAGAATGTCTTCCATTGCAATTTGTATATCCACTCTAAAAACACACTAAGTAACAGAGTTGTGAGATGCTGTACTTACTTATGAGAACTCTCAATATCTGAGTGAAGAGGTCCGTAGACCTGTAGCATGGTGTTCAGAGCGTCAGTTATCAGCTCGTGAGATTCTCCCAGGTAACCGTTACCTAACCTGTCCTCAGCTAGATCCTGAACGTGATATGTGTTTTTTATATAACAGTTTGTCATATTATCTTGCTTCTTGTGCAGTCACACACGTTAAGGTTCATAAATTTGACGTGTATAAAACGGGAGTGTTTTTGTACGCGGTGAAAGTTGAAACCACCGAATTAAGTAGGCCTAGGTTGCAAGGTTTATTGTTTTGACAGGATGAGGTGTCGACGCCTTGCTTACATTAACGAATTAAGTTAAGAATTCTGGGCTCTGAGAATTAACAAACATGTTTGGCACGTCCTCTAAAGTTGATTTCAACAGATTATTATTACTAGATTGGTAATTCGATTTGTCCTTCAAGAATGTTCCGCTACGTCAATGCGTACGTTAATGGACGAACAAAAGTGCATTCATTAGATTGAGTAAAACATAACTGTTTGTTCTGAACTTAAGATGCCGGTAAAATGTTAACGTACGAGGTAAATTCCCGCGAAGTATGATTCAATATTATACAGTTGTAGTTGCAAAAAGTGGATTATGTGAGCGAACTAATTTTGGATATATCAGTAGGTCAAGTGGTTGACTAATTTTCCGCAAAACCTTCAAATAGATTTTAATTAGTTGGTACCTTGAGTTTTGTGGCGTCTCTTGCTCTAGGATTTGAGTGTTTAACAATAGGGAAGACGTTCATTACGTCAGATTCGGTGAAATATCTGTTGTCCGAGTAATCTCGCAACGTCAGCTGAATACCTGGGGATGTCACATGTCAAATATCATATTGTAGTGGTGAAGACATGACAAGATGACATTAAGCGCAATATTCAATTCAATATGAACAGAACTTTAGATATACTTTGACAAGCTTTATGTCAGTAACCGATGAGTGGTTCCGTAGAAAGAACGTGCTTACCAACTGCTCTGCAAATCAATCTGGTCATTGGTAAGAAACCAAGTGGCATGACAACTTGTCCAGTTTCGACAGGTAATGTGTAGTCGAACTTGCTCAGGGCAATTTCACATATTGAGCTGTGGATTGATTGCGTTGTGCTGGTGGACCACGAGCAGGACGGTTCACGGACGAAAACTGAAAGATAAGTAAGTTAAAGCTATATATTATGGGGATGGTTAAGATTCTTGCAAGTTTTGCAAGTAAGGTTTCACCAAAAACCAGCTGGAATACATAAACTATAAGTAATCTGATAATGCGCGTTAAAAGCGCGCGTTATTATGTCTCAGTCGGTGCTGGGTCATTGAACTTTTCATTCTAAACACCAATTCGCGAGCAGGCAAAAAGTTGGTAGTGCTTCTACCATCTTCTACCATCTTCTACCACGTTCTAGAACAAGTCGGATTCCTTTTCATGTGACCACTGACCTTACCAGTTAAATATTTCTTCACAAATCGATACCAGCGCTATAAACGTAATTAAAGCGTAGAGCTAGAATTTTCTATATTTCGTCAGCGGAAGCGCGATTACCGAAGGAGTAGTCAGCTTGGTGGGCGTGAACTCGCGATAAACTCTCTAACCCTAATTGCAGAAAGTGCAGTACAACAAAGGAAAAGAGAGCAATTTATGCGGCGACAGAGCACATGAATAAGCAACATCATCAGCGCAAATTTCCCAGGATAATGGAATAACGGATAGCCGTTATATCGTACACGTGTCACGTACCTTTTCCTTTTTTGTTCTTCTTCTTCTTGCTCTGGGTGCCGTTTGGTGGACTGTTTTCACCGGACGCTGATTTCTGTCGCTCAACTGTGCCATGGTAACAATTCAAGAAATGTGCAACTGCTGCTCCCAGCTGTTGTGATGGAATGTCGATTATGTACTTCTTGAAAGCTTGTTTGGCAGCCCGAGTTATGACAGCTGATAGACACACGGCATAGTTGTGATTCTTCTCCTGATTATCCTCTAAAGATTTGGTGATACCTCCCAAATACCTCATGTTAATACCTCTACCATGCATGAGATCTGACAGGTGAATAGCGTCAAGAGGACGCTGTGTCATGGTTTTGAGTTCGTACACAAATTTAACAATCACCGAGTCCGACAAGAATACGGCCATCTCCTGGACAATCTGCCGGTCATGTTTGATATCGTGCTCGTTATCATTACTACCAATGTTTGTGTAGATATCGGGGTTGTATCTCATATCGAATTCAGTATCAGTCACTGATCCGAACTGACGAGCTGTTCCCGACGATTTGATCTCCTCCAAGATCTCCTTGGCGTCTGATTCTGTGAATGTTTTGGGAGGTGTGGGGTTGACAGGAGATTCCACGCTGCAGCCACTGTCGTTATCACTTTCGTTGTCCTTCTCCTTGATTTCCTTAACTTCCTCCTTCTCCTTGGTCTCCTCTATTGCCTTTAACTTGGTCTCCCTTTCTCCCTTAGCCTTGATAAACTTGGCGGACATGTTTTGAGTAAACAGGACGTATCTGTAGCAGGCGAACGCTTCAATAAGTTCAGCTCGCAGAGTTGCCAGTTTGTGGGGGGTTTCTGGGCACATGAACATGGGCTTACTCTGTTCTTCTTCTTCTCCTCTGTAGTTCTCTATTGGAACTGAAAATATTGGGTTTTAGTTCTCTGCAAACTCTAGTTTTCATGGGTATGCAGTGCAGTTAACTAGTTAAACAAGATAACAGTAACGAATATATATATATTTATTATATATAACAGTATAACACCCCTTTGTTACTTGGCATACGCGTGATACTAGAACTTTCTAAGAGGTAATTAGACCACAAAATGCTGGCTCGGGAGGTGCAAGCAGGGCGTAAATATCGTCACTTCTAGACAGAGCACATGGTATCGTATACTCGCACCTGTCACACACTGTACCACGGTACCCAGAACCACGTGGGCGAACATTCTGGAACTTCTAAACCGTGTTTAGTGTTTAAATGTTCGCAGAACCCACATTATACCAGGCCCAGGTAAACTTGCATATATTATGTGCATAACGTATTTCTCATAAATTAAGCTTAGTCCAGGAATTTGTTAAAATATCCAAGATACTTACCTCCCAGAGCAAATACATCCGGAGCAAAGGATCTGAAGAGATCTATAAGGTAGTGTCTGCCATCGTTCCCTATGATTCCCTTGCAATCGTAGCTGAAATAGTGTAATCCAGGTTGAAAACAGGGCACTGGATTAAGCGCCCCAGTGGCCTGTAATGTGTCAAGTTCATACTTGGCAGCTAATAATCTATTTAAAGTAGGGGTAATAATATATTATGCTATTAATATGTTAACATGCAATATAATATGAGATTGTTCCAGATGAATCAGGCCAGCGGGGCCTTCATACAGAATACCCACAAATTAAGTATAACAACAATACTCAAGAAAGGTCACACTTATGTCACATATATTATGTCACATATATTATATATTATGTCACATATTACATATATATGTGACATTTACTGCCTGTCACTACGCAACGGTAGACTGTTTGGAACCAACCTCCACACAAACCACCAGCTTTATAACCCTCTAACCGACCAGGCAAGTGGCAACCCCCTATCTCTGTGACCTATCAACTATGAAACTAATTTCACAGTTGAGTTGAAGCGGCTATTATTGGATGATTTCTAGTTGAGCTAGTCAGAGAATGTGCAGTGAAGGAACAGGTGGCCCATTGAGTGCAGCTCTCAGAGGTTCAGCTTATCAACTACATCAGCTATAGTTCAACCTGCTGATGAGCTGATCATATTATGTGCTGTGAAATTGTCGCCTCATTGTGTTGAGTTTTTATATAGAGAGTTGATGAAATTTAGGGAATCAGCAAACTAAATAGTGAACTTCAGTCTCGGTGAATAGATCGTTACAAATGTCAGTGTAACTTTAGACACGGATATAATTATAGACCAACACAGCATTGACTTTACCTCATGTTGAACACTAATGCAATATATATCAACTACCATGATATAACAGAGTGTATACTGTACGTGTGTGTGTTACACACTGCACCTACACCACGTACAACATCCTACTAAGAGTATTTATTTAGGGCCCTTACCGTCACACTGCACCTACACCACGTACAACATCCTACTAAGAGTATTTATTTAGGGCCCTTACCGTCACACTGCACCTACACCACGTACAACATCCTACTAAGAGTATTTATTTAGGGCCCTTACCGTCACACTGCACCTACACCACGTACAACATCCTACTAAGAGTATTTATTTAGGGCCCTTACCGTCACACTGCACCTACACCACGTACAACATCCTACTAAGAGTATTTATTTAGGGCCCTTACCGTCACACTGACAACGATAATCACCTCATTCTACTTCTGAATTTAATTATTATCGTACGTTTCCAGCACCCCCTATAATACACAATTCAGATTAGGTCAGGTATTAGCGCCTCCTCGCTAATAACGAGATTAGTTATGAAGAGTAATGAGAGTAGTTACGAAGAGTTTGTAAGGAAACTACACTTCCTAGTAGGCCAAGTTTAGCTAGTTTTCTGATATAGGACCAGAACATGTCGAACTAGTTTGTTCGTTACTTTAAAAGGACTCTATACTGGAGCAGGTTTAATTTACCTTGGAAAGGGTACACAGCCACAATCTTTAAGGTAGCAAGTTAAATGGTTGGAGATTTACTACAAACGTAGAGGAATTAGTAGGTCTCTAATGGTTGCCATAGGGATCTTGAAGAACCAGAGGTGAATGTCTACTCACAGTAAATACGATATATGGTTATTACGATACTGACCCGCTGACCGGAATTGGAAACTATTAACTTTATAAATCTTTAAAAAGATTTTTTTAACAAAAAGTGTGTATTGAACTAGTTGTTAAATCTTCTATCTCTTATTAACACATTCTCAAACTTATGTCCTCGAATACAGATAAATGTAAGTCTTTCGATCTATTTATAGAAATTATATAATACGTTAAAATAAGTAATCCAAAAATTTAGGTTTTTAGCATTCTGCTCTACAGACTAATTTTGCAACCAAAATAGATCAAAAACCAACAAAACAACATGTCATAAAAATAACTTTACATTCCCGGCCCGGTATTCCTGCACACCAACCTGGTAATGAGGCGGTGCTCCTCTCCATCTCCACCAATAACACTGTGTTCTCTGAGATGGAGCTTCTTGCTGGAACTCTCCAACACTTTACCAAACTTGTCATTCGAACTGAGGGCACGTGGGAATTAGTTTCCTGGAAAATTGACTTAAATCCGTTTTATTTAGTTCACTGCTCTCAATTACTTAAAGTTTCAGCACACCCGCTTCACAACATCAGCACCTTATATTCTCAGAACGCGAGGTTTGTCTTCAGACGTACAGGATGACGGTCACAGTGGAACACATTTCGCACTCTCGCACCATAGTAATTAATTATGTATGTTCCAAGTACGTCACATTATGCGACCAGTCACTATCATTATACTGATTATAATGTCTTCTGGAATATGATTGGACTATTCAGAGCTGATGGACCTACTGCAGGACACAGTGTCCTACTCAATACTCTGAGCTACAACTCTTATCTAGAGAACAGTGACTACTTGTCGTACCCAATATTATCATATAATATTAATCATTAAATGTGGTGATAGTGGTTTGACGTCACATATGATCTACCAATGTTTCTGAGGTGTCGTTACTGACATCTTGACTAAATAGTAAATGCATGCGCGTCGGTAAATGTAATAGTGCTTTTAACGATCATACATCTTGGAGGTATGAATTCTTCAAATGGTAATCGTTAGCTCCACGAGACAATTCAGTCATAACATAACATATGATACCTTGGTGACTAGAGTAACTATAAGTAAAGGGCCTGTAATATAGCACCTGCTCTGTCGAATCTATTTATGGAAACTTTCTTTAACGACTTTTTGAAAAGCTCTAGATAGAGCTGCTCCCTTGATATGTATTAATAGAATATCTAAAAGAGTTTTTCATATAATCAGCCCAAGGACAATGACTTACTTGATAGATTTGCCGTTATCGATGCTGCCATATATAATACTTTGTTCTTGGTCTCTCCTGAAATATTGAGCGTAAGTTAGTAAGTAACAGAAAGGTACGTGTGCTATGAACAGCACGACTACTTACTTGCTATATTTGAAGAATTTTCTACGGTCTTCAAACTATTGGAAGTATAGTGATACGGAATAATATTGTCATAGCAGTTAGAGGTGTTAAAGGAATGTATCTAGGCGCTGCAATTTCCCACAAATGCGGAGGGTTAAGTGAACAGGTCACTAATCCGTCTCCTGCTTCTCCCCGAAAGTAATTGGGAACCTCTGGCCTTGTCATCAACATGTCATCAAGAACTACCTTACATACTTTAAAACAATGGCCCTTCTACTTTACCTCTACTTTACCTCCTTACTCTTCACACTAACAAATATTAAATATTGACATCGGCAATCTTTATTTTTATTTGGATTGTTGATATAAGCGGGATAAAAATGCTTTATTCCATTTCATTCCATTTCATATTTACTTCAATTTGATATTAACATGGCCATCGCGGCTGGGTCATTCTTCTGCATGTGTCAAAAGCGATAAAATGTTTCATAATATTCGCATATATCACATGCCAAGTGAACACATACTGTAAGGACAGTTATAGCAGTGTAGCACATGAGAGTAGACTGTTTTCTGTTCTTCAAATATTTCAGCACTCAGCAAGATGTTTAACTTTAAAATAGTGAAATGAGCCGCTGCCCGCTAAAAGTCGTAACTTCACCTACTCAAGCAGTACTGTAAACAGGAAACTTGTACAGACTGGTGAACAGTGTTCAACATGACTAGATCCTGACTGAGACCAGGCAGAAATACTCGTGTTTAGCTAATGTTGGTAATTGTTGACAGGGGAAAAGTTAGTATCAAGTCTACCCACCTACATCGCGCCTTATTAACAAAAACCAATAAGGTACCATGGCCATAGCTGTTCTCCAAAATAAGGAACACACCATGGCCACGGTAAGGAAAGACGAAGTAGGGAATCTCACCCATCTCACCCATCCCGTGCAACCGTGAAGTCCCCCGAAGTCTGCTCACAGAAGGTTCCAAATATGTGCGAGATGTTCGCAATGGCAATAATTATATCATACAAATGAAGCCGATGAAGCATATGTTGGGTATGTTGCTTCATAAGTAGCATGTAAATGTGCTAACTACGGCTAATTTGCATTCATCCAGAAGTTCCCAAAAAATATTCATAATGCCCAACCACATTACACTAAACCAGACTACGCAATATTTTTAATAACGTCTTAATCTCGTTTGCCAGGAAATATTTAAAATACTTTACAAGTTTGCAAAATGTGTACTCACGATAAAATTCCACTGATGATACTCTGGCCGACGACCCTGTAACCTCTGTAATCTACAATAACAGTTCCCAAAGTATGCAGACCATCTGTATCTAGGGACTGGTACAGAGAAATACCTCTCAAATCACCTGCCTGAAGGGGAGTTGTGGTCACAAAACTATAATAAAGGGTACAACTAGTGATATTTTAAGGTGTATTGCAAACAGTGTTAAACATCGTGGCAAATAAAATAGAATGATCTAGGCCCTAGGGACAGAACATTTTGTGAATTAACACCATTTTAACCATATGAAATATCCGATTTTAACTATTCATTCTATCAACAATTTACCTAAATTATTCAATCCAGAAATGAGTAAAGTTCTCTTTTATAATTTATTTTAGTGCATACATCGTTTTAAAAAGACTATACCTTGAGACCAACTAAACTACTGAGGGTATTAAAGCGACTTATTTAGAGTACGATTATCTATTTTGCCGACAAATTAACAAACTGAGCACCCATACTATGAGTCTGGATTCTGACATGTTCAATTGTTTGTGTGGCTGTGATAAGTAGAGTTATTAAACTATACTATTGCTTGTAATTAGTCAGGGAATGTACTACTAATGAAATAATACTAATGAACTTTACAATTATAGCTGATAACACGGTATTAATCACACCACATCACTGATTACACCTATCACAATCTATTGGCACTGTGCTATTGCAACTCTAAATGTTTATCATGTTTAAATGCATTATTTATTTTAATGTGATTAGAGTTAAGACTGATCGTGACTTAACAATAACAAACAATAGCTAGAATCTAGATCTCTGCAGCAATCAATGCACATTAGTCATTATCCAATAAGAAGCTAAACAGCACTAAATGTAATGATGATTCCTGGAACCAGTACTTGAAATCTCCATTATCATATTATCCTCCTGTCCTATACTAAAGATATCAACTAATACAATAGTCCATTATGATGTTTACTGGTTAGCATATTACTCTATAATATGTACACGGTTGCTGCATGATGCATATTATCCGTAATAACGAGCTAAACAGTGTTTCTGTTAAATGAGCGTATCGTTTGGTTGGTTGAATGCTGAATGCTGATGTATCCGCGGTCTGCACATCTTAGTGTAGTCCAGCTTAACTATACTGTTAAAATAGAGTTTGAATGTTATCTCCGAAGAATGGAGATATGTGATTTGATCTCAAGGGGGGTTGGAACCTCGGTTAGTAGGAATAGCAAGATTTAGTAGAACTAATTAGCTGTTGTGTCAGGAAGGGAGGGTTAATTACTTAACAAGATGTGTTGTAATATCTTAATATGCGGGAATTAGCAAGAAACTATTATGTTCCAGGATGTTTAATACACTTTTAATTCTATAGCTGTATACTTACTTGGCGAGGGCAATAAAGCGGCGAAATAAGAAAAATGTAGTTTTTTCTTCTTTAATGTGCAAAAACATAACTTGAAGTAGTTGTACGAGTGTACGTTGTTACATAATATCACGCTATCAATATGTCAGTACACGAGATCAACTAGGAAGTATGTTTAAGAACTGGTTAAATACGCTATATTGTAGGATATACTGCAGTAATTGATCATGTAATGGTGATGTTTATTCAATAGGATGTAGGTAGCTAGTATCATCGAGGATTAGCAGAAACAAATTATATAAGAATCAGTTTCATTCGTCATCACTAGGAACTTACTAGACTTCCTACTGGTAGGTACAAACAAGAACTATATAACATTAGGACACGTACACCGTACTGTGAAATGTGAATTGGTAGATAACTTCCTGATTAAAGTATCATATTATTATAGGATATAATAATAATGTGATTCAATCTCATTCGTCCTGGAATAGGAACAGACACAGAACTCAGATATTACAGTCTGTAGTAGGACACGTACAAAATAATACATATCAGATAATTAGATGAATTAGATAAGGCTACACTTTGAGCCAAGATTCAGCTACTTCAGGGTATCCTCATCAATACACCTTTACACGCGTGACGTGTTATTCTCTCGGTTATCAGGAGGAGTTAGCAGTCTTATCGCCGGGGATGGTGCATATATTTTGTACCTGGTTTAATCACGTGGACTTCTCTGCAACTTCCACTGTAACATGATACCAGGCTGAAGGACTGGCAATCTAATTTGCACCGCAGCAGAGTGCAGACCTAAAAACATCGGTGACCTGGATTCTGGCTAACAGTGGACAGAATGTTCCACTTTATTTCAGGGGTCCTTTTGATCACGTCATAATGGATTCTATTCAAAGTTCAAACCCATTATCACATAATAGTTACATAAGTAGTTGATGTTCACGATTTCATGTGTAGTTAGCTCGTTTCAGGGAATTCACAATAGGATTAATCGACTTTTATTGCGGAACTGAAATTCTGGAATATTACACTGAACCTGAATTTCATTCCAAATTGAAGATTTTAATTCCGGCAATTCCAATGTCCACGGAAAATTTCCTTTTTTAGCAAAGTAATGTCACATACAGAGGCAACTTGGTAGAACGAACGTGAAAGTGACTTTTCTAGAACGATCCAGTACTTCTCGTAGCGATAGAAAGGAGATGAATGACTTGTAATTCTTTCAGAAATTAAGCGGTATTTCTAAGTTTAGCCATAATTTCGCTATGCCAATAGGATCATTGCATCATCTCATATCCGTGAGGATCACAGTGTTCCAGCCCTAGAAAGTATATTTTACATGCACGACAAATGCACGGCGCGGCTACACTATTCCAACCATCTCCAGACGTTTCAGTAGTTATCGTATGCAAGTGTCTGCCAATCTCTACTCGGTTTACGGGAATTGTATTCGACTCCAACAAGCAGGAGCTCCAACCGCGGCGTCTTTTTCACTCCGAAGTCACGTCCGCAATACATTAAGTATTGCGGACGTTAGTAATACGGATAAGATAAAAGATCGAGAATGTTCTCTCCCATCAGCTGATTTTACGAGGGCGTGTTCAATGCAGTGATAAGTGTAATGCAGATTGTGCTCCAAGCACTGCCGTTATTCCTGTCCCCTGTGGTGGATAAGGGGGCCCCCCCCCCCCCCCCCCTAATGGTTCACCCCTGAACTATCCCCCTAGTTTGTAGCATCAAATATGGCTCTGTGCCCGAGGATTACACGACTAATTAATCACGTCATCACCACCCACTTAGTGAGATAAGATAATTAACTTACAAAATATAATTCAAGATAACTTACAAATAAGATGACGACAAAGGGAACAAATTTATAATTCCATAAGAGTTAAACAGTTTGAAAAGTTTGATCTCACTTGTTCCTGAATTTCTCGAACACATGATAATCGACGATTATCATCCTGCCACGTGACCACAGAATTAAATACATGAAACTTAACAGATTTGTGAATTATCATTATCAAGTTATCAAGAATTATCATTATCAAGTACAGATGTTTCGGTTCAGAGATTGTTCTAGCCAAAAGTCTAGAAAATATGAATCCGTTATTATTCATTGTTTAAAAGTGCTGTGCTTCTCAATATTATTACTTAAGCTTGCTAAAGCAAGGTCTTTCTTGCTTGATACAAAACAAATTTAAATTAATCGGCATTTTTGCTCGGACGTGATTCGGTGCAACAACAGACCAACTTACATTAACGATACTAATTTTGTGACAATTGCTTTCTTTCGTTTCAGAGGACCTGTGGTAAAAAAAAAGTTGAATATGACGGCTGAAATTCAGAAATTTGGATCAATTTAATAATAAAGTTTGAATTACCGATTATACATTCTCTATTCAGGTGATATGCAAAGAAGAAGACATGCACGGATTTCTTAGACATGTGGCGAATATAGTCAAATTAAATTGGTTTAATTTGGAATTTTTCCTGGCTGACGCATTTAATTCTATTAACCAAACAAAACAACGCACTGTCTATTTGGTACTGTTCACATGATATTTTCGGGCAAATAAAGTCTACAATATTACCTACAGCCCCATTTAAACGACCTCATGCAAGGCTTCCCCGCATCCTATTGAAAGTAGCCAAATTAATTTCCATCCCTCAACAATTAAGTTAGATTAAAGCAATAGCATTTTCATTTATGATGTTCAAATAACCGTAATTTTCCAATGAACTACAGTTTACCCAGGTTAAGATTAAATTATATATCGTACTGGTAAAAGTTTTAATGCTATTGACTACTATTTTGAAAGTTTTCAAATTCTACCTTAATGTTTTCCAAATCTTATTAAGTTATTGGGTGCAGGTGTTGAGTGAGTATGAGTGAGTTGAGTAAAGATATAAAATAGACAGTTCAGTTTACAACAATGTAACAAACAACTATCTGTTATCACTGGGAACTAATAAAATACTAACCAGAACTGTGTTTCAAATTAACATGAAAAGTTGTAAATGTGCTTACGATCGCAGCGTAGGCGGCAGAATCGCCGCCAAAAGCGCCATAATGGTCCTTCATGTCGAACCCGAGACTGAAGAAGATGTTGTTCCAAAGAAACATGCGACTTTTCTTGTCATCGGCCGCGTTGAGGGGTGGGATGTTACCGTCTACCACCGCCTGTGCTCCCTTGATTGCCATTGCCACAAAGTCACAGGTTACCTGAGAAGAGATCATTCTAGTGGATAATCAGAGAATCGTCTGGAATTTCAGATTGTGGCTGCTTGGTCGCTAATTACTGCAGATGTCACGATAGTCCGTGTGAATTGTAAATAACAAAAGTTTAATATTTTACAACGCTTACTAAATATTCCAAGCATGCTACGACATTCTAGCATACGAATTTCGAGAATTTAGGAATCCGCCACTTTGCTAGAAGAATAATAGTCTGGTATTTCGTCCACTATCTACAGCGACAAGATTGTAAGATGCAGAGATCTATGTCAGAATTTGTAGACGGAATTTTCACAATATTTCCACAATCAACCAGTCAGTTGCAGGCTTCGATTATGATTAAGAATTTATAGAATCTTGTTAAGTTCAGTTACTTCTGACCTGACATTATGAGCGATAAGAGGCGCTTTATAACAAAAGTTTGTTGGAATTTTAAAGCCCTGATCTATGAAATTGACGAGAAGTTTGAATAATTAACTCTGCTGTGTTGTATCCAAAAAACCCTCAGAACATTTAAAGTTATTTTATCAGAGTCGGAAGTACTCAAGAAATGCACAACTTCTGATCTCTGGCCATGTAATATGTAACGTGGAGATAACATAATGCCGAAATGTCATCACTTCTGCAGGCATCTCCACCACTTGAATTAGCGCCGGTTATGGATATTTATTTGGGAACTTGGCTGCGCACCAGTTTCATCAAATATGAAATGAAAAACATTTTTCAACTTATTATGCTTCTTTTCAGTTACAATGACACAATTACAAATTAATATATTTTCGAGATGGGAATAGAATGTCAGAGGTTGAATTGAGTCGTAATATTGAAACCAGGGCGCATATTACAATTTAAAATTGGACCACTAACCAGCCATTAACCCATCAGAAAACATGAATTGAACAGACTGAGTAATTCTGAAAGTAAGTATGTGACTTCTGATTCTTGAAGTATGTGACTCACTCTAAAGATGGTCCTGTCTCTAACGATCTTCTCGTGGACATTAGCTTGTGGAAGTTCTCTGGCACTCTGCAGTTCCTCATTCCAGTCACGTGAAGACATCATTCCCAACGACATTTCGTCTGATGTGCTGCAGGGATTAGGTGTCAAAATAAGGCAAAGTATCAGGTATTTAATTTTAGGTTCAGTTTGGTCTGGATAATGGGAAATATAAGAAATGTTGCCGGGCCTTATGGTGAGGATTCAGAGTTTTCTGAGTTCAGGTTAGTATTGCTGTCGATAGGATTTTGGATGTGTTTTTGCTGAAGCCTACGCCGGAATTAGAATCCTTATTGTCCTTTCTTCGCTACGTATGTCAGCTGCAGCGTACAGGAATCTTAAATTCTAGAACTTCAGTATTGACAAGGTTTGCAACGTTACTTGTCATTGCTGATTGCAAGTTTGAGATATGTAGGGTTTCCCAAGTAAAACCGGTAAATGCCAGGGAACACGGTTCATACTATCCCACTCTACAAATACCAGACATTGCCGACGTTTCATTCAAATCGATTTGACCCACCAAGTCCTATCACCGACTGTATATATTACAATTAACACTATCAACTCTGCAGATTTTGGAGTAAACATTGCCACGGCCAATTTGAGGTAAATAGTCTCTCATAATATTCACACCTTAGTAAAACTGTAACTGTCTAAAAACTACCAGGCAAGTATTGTAGGAAACGCATTAAAATACTTCAAATAATGTTAGGCAAAATACTTGGTGAAATATTAGAAATAACTGTTCACCTGTTAGGAACGTAAGCCTCCTCTGCTCGGAGAGTATCGTAGGTATGCTCCGACTCTGGTTTACACCAGGTAAAGGTGGGATAGGGAACTGGTATTACCTGTGGAGAGGGAGGAGTAATGTTATTTGCACTTCACACCTGCACTTCACACCTGCTACCTACAACTACCTACAACTATCTACAACTTCAGTAGGCAGGTTTAAAAACCTGATTACTGATTACTTATCAGACGGTAAAAAAACGAGTTTTGCATATTTTGACAAAGACGCGACGCTGCACAAAAACACTCCATTCAGACAACCAATTTTCAGCTGCATATCCTCGATATAAAGCATAATATTCCAGACTTTTGGCGGCGGACGTTGCTAGAACTACATTAATATAGTTTGGATGGTTTTAAGTTTACTATCCCTCCAGGAAGAGAGCGCGAGCGTGGTGGTTGGGAGCAGTGAACTGTGAACTGAGGACTAGGAAGCACTCCTCACTCAATGGCCGGGCCCCATGTGGTTTTCATTGAATTAATTAACACTTAACAGTCGATATCAGTAGAGTCCAGCGGGCTGGATAATGTTTGGTTTATTCACAATGTTATGTGTATTGTCTACTGTATGAGGATATGTTGGGCGGCAGTTGGAAAACCTTTTAAGAGATTGATAGAAACAGGATTCACCGACTCTTATAATTACGGATATCTTAAATTCTCTGTTTTAAATGCTGGAGAATTCTCTCTAATTTGAATAATGTTTAATACTTGTTCAACATGTAAACTCGTACCTACTACAGAGACGAACCCAAATACTGGGTGCTCAATGTGTACACTTGGGCCCCGTCAACATTGTACCAAAATGTACACATAAATTACATGCTCAAATTTATTACGTGTCGTATCCGGGGGGATCCGGGTCTAATTAGTGCATCCCGCCGTTATTATTAAGACTCGAACGAACGAGAATTAGAAGGTTCCAGAAGGGCGGGCTGGGAAAACTCCAGAACATCTATTATATCTGTGACGTCACTGTTGAAACAAATAGACCTCTGGCTCAAGACACGACTAATTAATTTTCGAACCTTCCACGTTAAAATAAGCTGCTCAGAACTCTTAACCATGACTTGGAGATTGTTAATAGTTATAATTATAGTTAATATAATAATGTACTGCGAAGTAAGGCCGGGGCCAGATCGCTGACCAGGAAGATCAATTATTCAATAGTAACTGCTTCATTTAGCTGTAACCATACCCCACGTACGTTCTAAATGCTAAGTCGCACAATTCTCCGGAATCATAAGATGAAATTGACAGCTGAAAATGCTGGATATCTCGTAAATTGAACTTTATTTAACTTTAATGAAAGTGTTTAGCCCTTACCTCATAAGGATTTCTCCTCAGACTTTGTTTCTGGATGATAGCAAAGTTCTTGTTGAAGAGGGAGCTGACTTGTTTAAGAGTATCTACTAGAGTGTATCCTTTACAAGAAATCTCAGCAGGGGTAGGATCAAACTTCTTACTGGTAGTTTTGTTAACGTAGAACCCAGAAGGAACAGCAGTAATGTGGACTGTGTTACCTTCAAGTGTTGTCACAATCAAGTAGAACAGGTCACCTGGTGGGAGATACACAGTCAATCAGAGAAATATAGGGGGGGGGGGGATGTCGTTTTAGGATCCAGGAAATACATTTCACTTATTGCTACAAGCGTTCCTAGTAGCTCTGCAGTTTGGTCAGACTATGTAGCAGTAGCAGTTGTTCTTGAGAACAAGTAAACAACTAATTGAACGACTGGTTGCTGGTAAAATTACAGTTTCTGCGATATCAAAGAACTTTCCCAACTTTCTAGATTTAGTCCAACTTGGTAATTGCAAGGAAGTGATCACAACACGTATTATGAATATGACAAACTTGTAACTTTCTTATTGCAGCTTATGAACTTCTTATGCATCCTAACTAACTTTAACGACAATACCGCGACATGTTGCATACCAGCGCTTCTGATCTGGATACTGGTGGGAAGGTGAACCATATTTTAACCACACGTGACAGAGAAACAGGGTTTTAATTGGTCAATGCTGGAAGCTACTTGGCTAATGGTTGTTATGTGTCATAAAATTGGTCCATCTCTCCATCAGTATCCAGATCTATTAACATATATACTTATTACTGGTGGTTGTAAAGATCAAATAAACTAACCGAGCATCCTTCTGTTTCCCGGAGGAGGGTTCCAGCCACTGTATCCTATACTGCTGACACACTCAGGAGGTGGGGTGGGGGTTTCCGGGAACAGAGGCAGGAGTGGGGTCTCTTGTGCGAATAGGTAATCTGGGGGAGCCACATCCACATCGCAACCGTGATCTTCTTTTACTCCTTTCTGTATATCTTCTGGCGGATTTATATGGGAAATTAGATCCAGATAGGAAATTAGATCTTTGGGCACAAGTTACTTCATACTTAGCAGTTTCTAACAGCAAGATTTCTAACAATGCAACATGATATCGTTCCTTCTAGAAACAAGATTTGACATTCTTGTTGATTTGGTCACCCAAACTACCTTCGACGTCTCTGCCGGCCACAACGCCAGCAAATGTGAGTGACAGGTTATCAACACCATTCTGAGCATTTACTTGAATATCCGGCTGAATCAGTGAACGAACTCTCTTGAGGTGAAGCCGGGCTTCTCGAAGACTGTATTGCTCTGAGAGAATTGTCAAGTATTATAATTTAAAATGAAAAGTTTGAAACAGTTTGTGTTGAGATATTTTAATTCAATTTTATTGGACAAATAAATGATATTCTGTATAATTTTTAGAACAGGAGAAATATTAGAGAAGGAAAAGTTAAAAACGTGTGTTATTGAGTATTTTGAGCATTATTAAATTGAACCAGGAAAAACCAATATTCAGTAATGTCTCACCTGCAACACACTTAACGGTTTCACCATCCGTCAAATTCTCTACAGTGTGCACCATTGCAAACTCATCGAGAATCTTGCCTCGATGTTGGAGTGTGAAGCAAGTTTTATAGCAACTTTCTGGGCGTTCATTGGCCATTTGTCTCAACTCATGAAGATGATCATGGGTGCCTATCTGCAGGGAACCAGTTGAAAATCAATAAATTTTACAAAATAAATTAAAATTTTAAATCAATGTATGCAAATAGAAAATCACAGAAGATACCCAAAAACATGCCGAAATAAATGTTTGAATGGCTTACCGTCACTTTGATAGACTCAGTTGACTGAGGTAGGATGAGGTTCAAAGTTATGAACTTGTTAACTGAAAAGGGAATAAATTGTTAGTAATGATATTGTTATTGAATCTAAAATAGCTAATAGCTTAACAAATCAAGAACAAATTTAGTCACCAAAGATAAATAACAATATCATGCCTATTTATGAATTCCAACATACCATTTTCAGGAGCTTTTGTCTCAGCTTTGGGAAGTTCGCTTTTCTGAACAACAGCTTTGAAGTCCTCAATTGGTGGATCAATAGATGTAATGTCCTCAATCGGTGGATCGACAGCTTTAATTTCCTCAATTGGTGGATCAACAGCTGTTACATCCATTATGGGTGGATCAGAGGGAGCCTCTTTCTGTGGCTCGAGGTTAACAACGGTTCCATCCAGGACCTCAGTAGACATGGTAATGAACGCTTTGAAATAATGTGTGATTAGTAAAACAAAAGTAAGACAAAATTGAAATAAAACAAAATTTAAATTTTATTGCCATTACAATAAATAATGATATCATAATAAATATAAGTAGACATCCGATAATAAACTTGTTAGGTCCAGTACAACCCAAGATGTCGGCCGACTAACAAAATAAAGAAAGAGCTAGCATGTTCATAGTTTTTCAAACGAGCATACTTAGGCTGTACGTAAATAGCTTTAATTCTATGTCATATTAAAAACTTTACATCATTTTTGAGATACAAAAATAAATTTTATCAAATTTAAATTATATCAACAGTCAGAACTGATTGGCAGAACAGAGTATGTTAAAAGAATTTATCTATACCTCTTTTGCTGCTTAGGCGCGGCACCACACCTAACCCACATGTTTATAAAAAGCTGTAAGCGGTGCGCCACGCCTAAACCATAAACTCTAAATATTGTCAAGATAAACGAGTTTTGCGAAATAATTTAGCATGCTGACTTCGTAGGATACAATTACAATTATACCCGAATGTATTGTGTAAGAAGTAAACTCGTTGTGGGCTGGTAGGTGCCTTGATGGTAAACTACAGAATTCACTCCCTATATATGCAAGCCTTAATAACTTCTGGTGGAAATTGCACGTGTACGAATTTCAGGGGTTACAGATATGGGTCAATCAGAAAGTCTTATGGCCCGGCCTGTCACTCCCTCGATATAAGTGAGTCTAGAAGTCAAAATTCGAGTGAATTGTGCTTGATTCAGATCTGATGGGAAGATGATCTCATCCCTCATGCAAGTGCTTTCGACTCAGGGACCATATTATTCTAAGTTTACATGATCATAACTCTGATTAAGCACGATGAACTTCAAATTTTGATACAAGTTTTAAATAAAAAAAAGGGGGGTGGACCCCCAACCCATGTAGCTGAGACACAAGTTTAAGACAACATATTGTGTAAAGGCATCCAGAAAATTTAGTGTACTCGACTTCGACTCAGTGGCGTAATGTGGCCTGTTGGCGCCCCCCCCCCCCCCCCCCGCCGAAAAAGCGCGGCCCCATTTTGGTGCCCCTCCCTAAAATTGAACAAATTAGGTGATTTTAGAGGATACGCCGGTAAAATCTCTAAAAAAGTGTGTATCTAGAGCAAAACGCGCAGTTTTGCTAGTACTTTAGTTAAGTTTTCGAAATTGTCCCACATTCAAACAACGATTTGGCGCCCCCTAACACGCCCCCCACCCCCCCCCCCCCCCCCCCCCCCCCCCCCCCGCACAGCAGGGTCAGCGGGGCCCTTTGTTGCGCCACTGCTTCGACTTAGGACGGCATCAATGTCCAAGCAAATTTAGTGAACCAAGTGTTAAGGAAAAAAACTTTTATTGTAAAAACAGTGAAAAGTGGGTGCAACAAGCACATCCACTGTTATTGGCAAAACTTCGCGAATTATTCTGGGAATCTAAGTTGAAACCATATATCTCGATTCCCTGAGATTTAAGGACCCTTTATTGAGTTAGTACTTGAAGGTTGAATTGTGGTCTCACACTCAAGAGAGTCATGAGTAGGAACAGCCTTGATAGCCAACTCAGCTGAATGATTGGTTGAACCACGATTGAGGGTTTAATAAAAGGGCCTTGTTAATACAAACCATCATATCAATGAAGGGTGTCCTTCAGCTGGTTTCTGAGGACTGACGCTCTCACTTCATCAAGACAATTGTCAGATAAGCATGGCTAGTTGACCGACTTAGTTATTACATTGAGTAGCTGCTACATTGTAGTTGTTATATTGCCACTGGTGCCAGTAATAATTACTAAAGTAAACTCTTCATTAGATATCACTAGCGAAAGGGCTCTGGTTAGAGCAAATTCAATACCGTAATACATTTTTATGAACACAAACACACAAAATTCCCAATAACCAAATTTTACAATGTAACCCAGTGCGCGGCTCTTGTAGCGCATACATCACTTCTTTCTTATTGTTTAACGGCCAACGGGTGATACTCGTAAAATATCTGTTCCATATAGGCGCGTCCTGGTAGGTTGTAAACTTACAATCTTATTGGTAGTTGGCGTGCACGTGATCATTTGCGCAGGTTTAATTGGGGTGCACAATGTAAAGCGCTTGTTTCCAAAGCTACCTCTGGACTTGGACTACTTAAGAGAACATGTCATTTCACTACTGATAAAAGGCAGAAAAGATCGTTCTATTTAGCGTTAATTAGGTCTATATTTGAACATTGTTCTGTTATATGGTCCCCTCAATCTGCAACTCATCTTCAACAGTTTGTTGCTATCCAAAAGAGGGCTATTAAATGGATCAATGGTGAACCTTACTCCAGTTATAATGACGATAAACTTGCTACAGAGCAAAAGAAACTAAATATTCTCCCTGTTAAACAGAAGTTTATTTATAACGATCTTATGACCTTCTATAAAATAGTGAATAGCATAATTCCAGTTTCGCTCCCTACATATATAGTCCTATGCCGTCCAGAGGGCACCCGATACACTAGGCACAATGCCCAAATAATTGATATGTCGGATACTTCAACTTACATGAGTACCACTGTGCCCTGCTCGGATGCCTTCCGAAATAGCTTTTTTCATAGATCTATGCTGAAATGGAATAGTCTACCAGTATGTATCCGGCAGTCAGAGCGGATTTCTACTTTTAAGGCCAAACTGATCAAGTACCTCTGGGCTGCCGATACAGTCTGGCCAGATTAGCTCATCAGTCTTATGAGTCTCAGAATTTTTTTTTTGTTGGTTACAATTCTGTCCGTCCAATTTCCTATCTGCTTGTCCTTTTCTTTTTTCTTTATCAGTTGTGACGGAATTGTAATGAACAAAATCCTTATAATTATTTATGATATGTTTGATTTCTTGTTAATGTTTGTCATTCAAATTTGGTAGACGGCCCCAACATTAATGTGGCTCTTGCTATGTGTTGGTTCAGCCGAATTAATAATTATATTATCAAGTTTATTTTTCTCGTTAGTTGTCATCCGGCCAAACATTAAGCAACTTATATTGCAGTACCATTTATCATTTAGTAATCAAAATATGTCATTGTAATTTTGCATGGCTGAAATGTAACGCTTGATTTATATATATAATGATTAATTGAATTTTCAAATAAAAAAAAATTGGTTCTGAACGATCACGTGAATGCTAGTCACGTGCGCTCTAACATCCAATGAGCATTCAGTTAAACAAAAATTCAGTTAAACAAAAATTCAATTTTATGCCATTTATTACAGAGTAAACAAGTTTACAATAAATCAATTTGATATTTAAAGGAATCCTAATTCAATGTGTAGTATGGTTGTCACTCTTTAAATAGATTAGATATAGGTTGACGGGGCAAAGGAGTGTTCGTGCTGTTCGCTATTGCTCACACCAAACGGCAACCTAGTAAAATTTTTGTATGGACACCGGTCTCCATCACGATACAAAATTAGGATTGTAGAATTTATTGTATAACTTTTAGTGCAGTGGAGGAAGCGGTGTGGTGCATTAATAGAGTGACAGCCTACTGATTTAGAGTTGTTTTTACGTGAGCATAATGGGTATATTTTTGGACCTAAAGGCTTTACTATGGCAACTTTAAAATTGGTACTTTTAATCATTTATTAAATATCACTTAAAAATATATAAATCTGGAATCTGTTCACACTGTGAACCAGTCCTATAATTAAAAAAAACCTCTTAAATCAAATATTTAAAACGTCTCAATAATGGAAATAGTCATACAATTAAGAAATTTACCAAATTCTTAATATCTACCTTAAGAGAAAAATACCTACCTAAGTCCATGTCTACCTGTAAATTGTAATACACTAAATATTAGGTTAAATACATTATAGGTGGTGGAGTCAGCACACATTTACCAAAATCAAAAATTGTTTAATAGGAGGAACCTGTGGGCCGAGAAGTGAGAACACTGGATTACATTTGTTGAAGGGGATTGTTTTCAAATGACAGCTGCATTATGTCATAATCGCTTGAAGTCCATGCTGAATCATTATAAGCATGTTGCAGCTTTAGAAGTGCCTTTTTCAGGCGACTTTTAGCAAGGCTAATCTTGTAGGAGTAGTCAAAAAGCTTAAGTTTAGGTGCAATTGTGCTCCAGATTTTTGTGGATCTTGATATGAAGTCATTAGATGGGAGTTGTGAAATGAGAGTGGTTTCCTTTCTAGAAGATGGCTGATAATGCTGTTGCAGTGATGCTGGGCACCTTAATTTCAGTATTTTAAAAACTTCCATAAAAGTGTGATATGTATATAAATTTTTGAAAGCCAGGATGTTTTGTTGCTTGAAAAGTGGTTTACAGTGCTCTAGTTGGAAGAATGTATGGTCAAGTGCCTGGCTGTCAAACTCTCTTGTTCTTGCACATGTTAGGAACTTCATTCGCACTTTTTTCAGGGCGATGGAAGTCGTAATTCACTCAGCCCGAATGAAGATTCGGCGGAATGACAGGCTGACCGCCGCTCAGTAAGGAACAACTAAAACTTTTAATCAAAATGTTCATTAAAATTGATGGATGTTATTTGTCTGAAACTCTTCGAAGTAGCACGCCGGGTTGTATGTTGTAGCGCGATGCACGACTGGGTCGCGCCGCGTATTTTCTCGCAACCACGTATAGTATGCACGTATAGTATGCAGATCGGCGATATGTGAAGGATTGACATCGTGAATCAAGGCTATTCACTAAAAACTGGCTGCCCACTTATGCAATGCCGTGCGCGGCCCGGCATTGGCACATATTTCACCTAACCATATGCTTTCGCGCCACTGCGGGAGGAGGGCGCGCGCTACTGCAAGAGCAAGGGCTCTGGATAGAGCAAGCCCATATAGCATTGGGGTTAAAACATAATTTTCCATTTTATTTTTATTGCTACGGTAAGTTTGCAAAATTGAAAAACCGTAATCGCTGGCTTTTTACTTTCCCATTTCCGAGATCAGAGCTATAGCTATATCCTTGTAGCGCGATGCACTACTGGGTCGCGCGCGCATCAAATAATGCTTCTCGCAACCACAGATTGCAGATCGGCGAGATGCGAAGGATTGACATCGTGAATCAAGCTATATCCCTGTTAATAAAGATGTTTGAGTATAGTGAAACGAATGCGCGCTGAAATGAGGGATATGAGGGATATGAGTTGCTCTAACCAGAGCCCTCTCACTTGCAGTAGCGCACGACCGCCGAAGGTATATATATTTATTCAACTTGTGAAACAAGCGCGTCACGCAGTACGCGTATTATATATATACACATGGCTATGTGAAGGAAATTAGAGATATGAGGGAATGGCGGGTCGGGTAACTAAAACAACGCGAAACGATATTAACATACATAACATAACAATTAAATATATTCAATATTTTAAAAACTTTGCCTTACATGGCTTATATATTAAGCATTATTTGATAGCTTTAACTTAGGTTACTAATATATATAATTTTATAGATTGGCATACTAAGTAAAGAAACATCGAAACTCAGGCTCAAGGCTGAAATAGCATTTATATAATTAATAAAATTTTGACGGAGCTAATTGTATAGTAAATATTTTTAAAAGCTGCTGCAGTCATATCTAATACAGCGGGGAGAACAAGTCATTTTGAGATTTTGTGGCACTGCTCACAATTTTATAAACATGAAGTTCCTTTTTTCTGCCGTTTGTTATTTCGAAAAAAGTGGATTGATAACAATTATTATAATATCAAATATTTTTAGAAATTATAGCATTTTTTCTGTTATTTGTGCATACACAGTTTAATTTAAGGTTTGTTGGTTGTTTTGAGCTAGTTTCGTTCAGTTCACTCATATAATAAGAAATCAAATCAAATCAAATCAAATCAAATCAAATCAAATCAAAATATAATGACAATGGCAATTTTTATTGACATTTTTAAGGCTTACAGAAAGGACGTTCAAAAGGTTCATATTTAGGATCATTTGGGAGACCCCTCTCTTATTATATCTGGCTCTTCATTTGATTCTCGTTCACGGCTTCGCGACCGTTCGGCTGTTGATCGATCGTTGGAGCTGCTCAAATGCATTGAAGATCTTATTCCAGGAATTTTTCACAGACCCCAAAACCATCCATGATTTGCTTTTAAAATCGAAGGTCCTTCCTTCTTTCATATAGTCTTGGTTGTTTGAAATGAGTCCCGGACATTAGTTCAATTTTGATTAAAGTTTGAGATGAAAATTGTTTAAAAATCTGTGGCCCATGTCAATTCACCTCTACTTCCCTAAAAATGGCTTCGACATTCTATCAATTCAGTGACAATCCATCTATCCGACCTTTTGTTTCATTGTCTCACAAGTTTGCACAATGCACATGGCCAAAGTGTACTGGTTGAAATGTCCGTTTAAAAAACCTTGCTGTGCCCTCAGTTTATCCAGATATTGATTAATAAGTGGCAGATAAATGTTTAATGGTGTAGATAATAATAATAATAAATTAATGTTATTTTTATACAGCACCAAAAGGTTAAATAATTTAAATTTAACCCTTATGCTCAGCTGTAAATGATACTTAAGTTAACGAGAGTGTGCATCTTTGCCTTAGACGGAGGTGAAACAAGAAACTGTTCAGAAAACAGGCGTTAAAAACTGAAAATAAAATCGTGACTAAATCTGAATACTCCAATACACAATAAAAATTGATTGTTCAAAGAGTTTACTGCAGAACAGTAACTGACGATAAAAATTATATCTGAAGATCCAATACAGTCATACCAAACAAGTAGATGGAATATGATGTTATTATAATTTATATAATTACGTAATCATAATATGGGCCATTGTTAGCCCCAAGCGCTTTGGTCCCTCATTCCTGCCACTCAGCATTGCCTACTGTAAAGTAGAAATTTTTCTAAGACCATAGAGAAACTGACCTTGTCTCACTAAATTCAACCACTTGCCATAATAAAAATACTAACAACCAAATAAAGTTTTTAAAATAATTATATACAATCACCAAAGAATATTTCCTCGAGTTTACTTCTAGTAAACTAATTCGTGGTTTAAGCTCTTATTTTATTTATGATTAAAGGAATGTATAAAGGGGGGGGGGGGGGGGGGGGGGAGGGGGGCCAGGGGGGTGTTAAAATGGCAAAAAATTGATTCTTCTACTCTTTTTTACACCATACATCAAAAAGGCAAAAGTGTAAAAAAGTGTAACCCATCAAAGGTACGTTTTACCTTTGAAAATATACTATGTGAAGACTGATTGGAAAATAATAGGAGAAAAGAAGATTTTTAGAAGATAATTTGGTGAAGTGTAATTAAAAGTGTAAAATAGTGTAAAAAAGTGTAAATGTGTAGTGTAAAACAATGTAAAAAAGTGTAGCAGACCCCCTGCCCCCCAGCCACCCCTGGTTAGTGTTAAACATCAGGATATAAGGAAATCAAATTTTGTTTGATCTAACATAATATTATAGAAATATTGTTATATAAGTTGTAGGACTTACTAGTTTAAAATAAATAATACATTACACAAGAATATGGCAACTAGCTCCATAGTATGTGAATATACATTTTTAAATTTTGGTATTTTCGGACTTGGCTGTCAAGTATATTCTTATAGGTCCTTCACATGATTGACATTTCTAAAATGTCTGACAGTAATTGTACTATTTGATATCATTAAGACCAACCATTAACTTACGTCAGGTATATGTCACCCTTGCCTGACGAAACTAACCACCATATACATTTCCAAACCATCGTCTCAACACTTGGTGGAAAATATGTCATATGGTCCGGTTTGGACTAACACCATGCAGTTGTTTGACAGTTTTACCCATCACAGTTTTACCTGAGGGTTTGACTTTCACCGCTTACAGTCTTTGTATGTCACGATTGACAAACTGAGTTTGTATTTAACATTAGACTAATCATCCAATTAGTTACAGGTTGCATGTCTCTAGAAATCGTGCACTGAAGAATGAGAAGTGAATTTTCCTCGTTTTACAATATGTTGTTTCGATCGTGTGTCACATCTTCAGTCGCAGAACCCCCTGTAAGTACTGTTAACACATCATCTGATGTGGTTTGAAAATTCTGAAGTAACAAAATAAGTATTAATTAATACTTATTATGTAAAAACCGAACTTGTTTCATACTAATTTTGAGAAATAATAACGATTCTGAAGTAGTATCATATTGAATATTGATATAATTGCTAATTCAATTCGATCATTTTTAATTCTCTTGTGATAAAATCACAGGTATATTTCAGATCTTAATCATCCTTCGCTTCAATCGATTAGCAATAATTTATTCGAAATTTAAGTAATTACTGAATCGATTTATTAGCAATAAATCATCATAATCTAAGCAATGCATTCATTTAAAATGCCCTATTTGCATTAATATTCCAATTTCATTACTTGTTGTGCCTGTGTCCAAGGAGCTGGAACTAAACTTGCTTATCGTTGAGCATATTGCTGGAGTGGTTGTGTTTTAGTGACAGATAGTCTGATGGCTTATCATTGATCTTAAAAACAATCTGTTAACATTTAAGAGCCCTGAGACTTTTCTATCTTATTAAATAAAGACTGTTATAATGTGAGCCGAGCTGCTTCACTAATGTTTGAAATCACACGTTTTACTGCAGATCTGCAGCCAATTTACCTAGTATTATCTTCCTGGATTGAAATACTTATTTGGATTGTACTGCATGAGTATTGAGTAGTTTAAAGATATTTAATTTGAATAATTTCGTTTGAATAATGTTTTACTCTTATCCAAAGTTCTGTTTTGGCAGTGTCTTTACTCTTCATTAATCTGTCGTTAAGTCTCAAATTACTTGTTTTTTGTGCTAATCTGTGATTTGTTTAGTGAAGGCATGCTATGAATTGAGAAAAAAAAATGTTTCAAATAAAGTTAAGAAACCCCTTCAAGAAAAAGACTCCCAAATCTAAGGTAAAGATGATGTAATACACTTGTTTTCAAAATAACTTTATTTTAAAACTTTACAGAGTAAAGATTTTGAACGCTACCAGACTTTTGTGGATCAAAAACTTCCGATTTCGAATTTTTGAAAATGATTGTGGAATTTTAGATAGGGCTTTCAATAAGTTCTAAAAATTGACATTTGGTTGAAAATCAAATAATTTATGGTAGGTAAAGCTATTAATTACAGCTGAGCATGTCATGTGTGGTGTGTTTGAATGTTCATTAAAGCTATAATCCTCTCGCTTTTCTTTTTGCATGGTCTACACGATTTTGCTGAAGTTAATTCTGCTATCTAATTACAAGTTGTACTGTCCTTATCACATTTAGAACATTAATAACATTAAAATTGCGATTCCTTCTTTTTTTTACAAAATGTCTTTAAAAAGTGACTCAACTGCCGTTCGCTCGCTACAAAGAGATTACGGCTTTGAACTTCATTAGAAAAGTATCTCGTATTACTCTAAAACTTTAACTGAGTAGGTCCAATGTGTGTATCAACTTTCAACAGTTGTTACATTCGTGGATTCATATATTCATAAGATATGGGAAGTGTAATTCTATCTTGCTCACGCAGTGTTCTCATGATAATACGGTAATGATAATATTCTGCACATCCTTTTTTGGTTTAACATCGAGTGTTACTTTTGATTTGTTCCTCCAATGAGTAGCGACTGAGTGTGTCATATTTCGAGTTACAATGAGATTCCGATCATCCAGTGCATCAGATTCCGGGTCAGTTTCAAAGCTAACTATTTCTTCTCCCATCCAACATGTCTCCAACGTGCCTCAAACCTCCCCCTCCGAGCAACAGTCCTCTAAACTCTCTCCTGCTGTCCCAGTTAGTACACCTCCCGTAGAACCTTCCTTTGAGAAGGCTCCCGACATTGCTCCTGTCATTGCTCCTGACATTGCTCCTGACAATGCTCTTGACGATGCTCCTGATATTGCTCCTGACAATGCTCCTGACATTGCTTCTGACATTGCTCCTGACAATGCTCCTGACATTGCTTCTGACATTGCTCCTGACATTGCTCCTGACAATACTTATAAACCACGTTCTAATCCTTTCTCCGACCCTGTTCCTACCGAACCACCACCCTGTAACACCTGCTGCTCCTCCTGCAAACAACCCTTTAAACGAGCCTCATCTGCTGGCTCCAGAATACCAGCAACTGTCCCTGAAGTGGTGTCCGGAGGATTACACTGTCCTAGTTTGGAGGACAGATTCGATAACCTTACTGGCCAAGTTAAAGAGCTGGCTAAAGAAAACAGGGAACTGAAACTGGAAGTAATAAAGATTTACAGCATTCTCTGTCAGAAAGGAGTGGATACCACGCGCACGGAATCAGATAGAGGATCTAATACACTGGTAATCTAGTTTCCTTGAATTTAATGAGTTTGAAAATCCAAAAGGGTACAGCGTACTTATTTAGTGGCCTAATCAGAGTACAATTTACAGCACTGGTTATGTGGGAACTTTTAGGCTGTGTGCAGTAGGCCTGTACACGAAAGAATTACACAGTTGGTACCCTAATTCCTGTATGTCAACCCAAATTGGGGGAAACTTTATCTTTAACAGAACATGACCTAATAAGGTCATACTTTGTGGCGGCTTTTCTTGTATAAGTTTCTTGGTGACGTGTTGAAAAGATCTTAATAAGTTAATAAGACCACTGCAACTGTCTCTGTATCAGTTTCCATGTCATGTTAATAGCCGTATGTCAGTTCACGGATAACTATTAACATGGAGCTTGTTGAGACTGGTAAGCACAGCAATTGTGCTTGCTTGGCAAGTTCCACCATTTAGTTGCTGTCAAAAATAGAGCTCGACAAATACTCGTCTTGCAAGAGCCATGATTAGTGCACAGACGAGGGAATGTTACCAATATTATATCATAAGACGTAACATATATAATATATGATATATATTATATATCATGATATGTCTACTCTCCTGTACACAGCAGTAGCACTAGTCACATTGTTAAGGTGTCAGCCTGTTAACTTCGTCACATTGGTCTGTTTGATAACAGACTTTGAGCAGACAATAGCAGTTCGATTACCCAGACCAGCATTATACTGTAAACAGCACACACACACTGTTGCACTGGTCTATTGTACTGACATTACGAATATTCGGTGAACTGTTGTCACAGTCATAATTTACATCGTGGGCTCACCTCGAATAATTAGTGGGTAGTTCTGTGAGATTATATACCCCGGTTCTAACATCCATTGTTAGTGAGCTCCCTCCTCTTGATCCTGCAATGTTCCTTCTTATGTAACACTTGACTTCGTTAGAAAGCAGTCAGCTGTATAGAAAGGGGCCTGTTAATGATAATAACTCAATCTCTTTATATGGTGCTGTGCAAACTTATTCTTATTGACATCCATGAAACGAAGTGAAGACGACCTTAAGACGAGTCGGGGAAAGCCATGTTCGGCTTTCTTGGTTATCTCAAAATATGTAAAAATAATCTTTCAACAGGAACGGTCTTGTTTAAATTCTTTTTGTATGGCACCTATCAGTAAAAATTGCTTGTTACATCCTTATTTTAAGGTTTAAAGCCTTTTGACCGCCGCAAACTATGCATATATTTAAGATCTCTTCCTGAATGATAAAGGCAACTCTGTTCTTATTAATTTCAATTATATTTCTGCTTAGTAAATAACAAAAATCTTAGATGTAAAGCCTCACACTAATCATTTGCCGCTATTTCGCATCCCTAGCCTCCGCATTTAATAGCTCACATCGATATGATATGCACTTTTATAAAATATATTCCTCTAATGATACCATGATGTCATGTGTAATTCTATTCATATAAATTATTTATAAAAATTAAATACCCTAATTTTCTTTTTCAGAGACGTATCAGGAAAATCGACATCGGGCAGCCAACAAACTTTCAGGTAATTAAAAATAAGTTAAAGTTGTAGTAATCCGAACGTGTATTACCGAGATAATTAAGCATAATGTTAAACAGTGATATCATAGTGGCGGTGGGACCCTAATCACATCATGAGCTCACATGCTCTACATTCCGATAATTCCTCACCCTTACACGTAATGATCCACACTCCATGTACAATGGTATCTTTTAAATTTGAGGTGAAAGCGCCCGACTCACAGTGAAACCTATGTACACACAGTTAGAGTTGATCTAGATTTAGTAGTTCTAACAGCGTGTGTCCGGTACGGTACATTCATTCTGTGTCATTCGTGAAATTCCTGGCTGATAGGGTCATTCTCTGTACATTGTATTGGTATGTTAGTCTCGCTCTATTCGCCCAGTTCACTAGACCTATAATGGGTGAGCTGTGAGTGTTCCGCAGTGGTGTTCACTGAAAATTGGAGTTTATCAGCGGGTAAAAGGAATGTTCAGCGCTGTAATCTGTATAACATTCCTGAAGCATAACGCACTTGCTTATGACTGTGTCAAATGCACTCTAAATGTAACAAAAGTGTCTGTTGAAAATGAAATGATTTTATACCCGTACGGTATTCATATGAACGTAAAACAAGATCACATGTATTTTACGTGAAAGACATAAAATTACCCGCTCAGTCTGTAAATTTGGTGTTAACGCGACGTATACACTTGATATATCGCAGACTACATAACATGATTGTAAAATATACAAGACATAAGTACATAAAACTCGGTACGACTCAGAAGGAGAAGCGGCAGGAGAGATGACCTCATCTTCTCCAAGACACCTGTCCAAATCTCTTGGTTCATGTTTCCTGTTTGTAGAGAACGCCCGGACAACAAGACTTGGAATGTCTCCAAATATTCAGAACCGCTCACACCCCGCTACAAACCCGCTCACACACTGTACTATAACACTCTAAAGAGGTGTGGTCCCTTTAGAAGGTCTGTAAGGTGCACTACGAGCGAGGTACAATGAGCGATGTAGATTGCCGGGGAGGAGGGTACGTCACACACAGCTGTAGGTATGTTTAAATACCCTCTCAAGTGCGTCAAGCCAATACATTATAGTTGGGTATAGAAGCTGTTATAATATAGTCGCCCTTTAGTGCCAGGGTGTTATTATATCGGAGTGCACAGGAAATTAATTAATAGGAATTGTTTCTCCTCTGTAAGGGTCGCCTCTTTTAACTATGAACCGCATGTTTAGTCGAGGCTTTTCCCTGAAGATTTGTGAGGCGTGTCTTTAAATCACGTGGAAACATTTCCAACACTCTTCCAAACTGTCGCCCAGGTCTCACCCTTATTAGTGAAGTGATCTGGAGAGTAAGTATATCTAATTACTGATAATGGTACATGGTGGGTGAGATAGTATCTGCTAATGGGTTTGGGGCCTGCATTTTCTTATCTTTCTGCAAAGTGGTGTAAGCATAATGTAAACCGTGCTAATAGACCGAGCTTGCGGTATTGCTGCAAAAGAGAACCGACTTAATCTGTAAATTAGTAATGATGGACGGTATTTTTCGCCATTACAGCTTTCACCGACACAAGCCTGCCATTTCTCACCACGAAACGTGATCTGTTGTATTTTACCGATATTACGAGCCCACAGATCATTAAGTGAGAAAACACCAATTATCTCCCAATTATCTCTGCTGTACGTCTAATTAAGTCGCCCTGCCAATTATTTCACCACAGAGTGAGGTGATGTGTACACAACACCTACTGGAGGATGTTCGGACTAATTTGTTAGCTTTAGAGCAGGTCTGAACATGCCCGGCTAACACACAGCTAACTAGCCGGGGAGCATGCCGCTTTTTCTCCACTAATACGATAATATACAATCACCAGTAACTGTTACCTGCCTTCTTCATCAGTTCCTGTGTGTACAACAATCACACAGGAGCTCGGTAAGAGAGAGAATATAACATCAGTTATATACTGAACATTAATACAATATAGTCGTTATAACTCATTAATAATAACAGTTCACAGTACAACCTAGTACAGCCTCCCTTTTGAGCGGAAGTATGGGTAAGTACGTGTTCGGTGCAATAATACACACACAGTACACACACACACTGCTTCGGATAGTGAGCTAATTGCATGATTAGCTGTCGCAGCGCAATTATACCCGCCTTTCTTCATTCCAAAATACCACTCATTTTATTATATGAGGAATATAAGCTTCTAAATTTGTATAAGTAATTTCTATAATTATTTGTGGTCGTGCACTGGGTATAGTAAGCCTGTTTTATAATTTAAAATATTGCGATATAGAATATAGCTGGGACACGGAACTAATTTACCTGTTGTGTACTCACATCTAGTTTACGAAACCACAAATTAGCAAAATGAGAATTTAGCCGGGTAATGTCTACACACTCACCAACTGTTTGTAATTCTCAGTTAATTACAGCAACTACACAGGCGGGCTGTGAGTTGTTTTTAACAGCAGTTAACCTCACAGCTACATCATCACCACCATTATACACGCCTAACACAGCCACACATGTTAATACTCAATAGTTATATTATTATGCATGTAAAACCACACAAGATCTGGGGTAGATAATATTATTATAAATCTATATTCTGTATGGATAATAATATGATAATATGACTGTTACAACACGGTATCACGAGGTTCATTCCCAGCTGTACATGTTTTTATTGTTTTGGTTGAGTTATTTTGGTCATAACATAGTGAGTAGCTAGCGATTTTATTAGCTAGTGAGTAGCTGTAAATTGGTTCCTAATTTGGAGATGTTTTATTGGGAGAAAGTTTGACGCAGTGTCTGAAACCCCCGCCAGCCAGCAAACCAGGAGATCTTGTGACGGGGAGGCCGGGAGGAGGTGGGTTTGTCAGAGCTGCTTAGCCACGTCAGTAACACGTTCAACTCATGGTAGGTTAGTGGCTGGTTTAGAATACTTACTCGCTGGGTTGTGGGCTATTTCCTCGAATTATACCTACTGCTGCCACCAGATCATCTTATATATCGCAAAGTAGTGATCTCCAAGATAAACCATATATATAATGGGCATCACGTGATCCAAGATCCCCTGTTATATAGCCGTGAATCGTTTCATTTAAAAATGAATGTGTGGCTGAGATTATGTGAGCTGGCACATAAAACACTTAAATCTAAAGTCATGTAGTTCACCTTGTGCTCCAGCTTAAAATATTCCCAATTTAGGACATGAAAGCTGTGGGCGAACTCCACTGCCTTCCTAATTGTTTCACGGGTGGTTAAATGGAGATTGTGCAACACCTTCCCCTTTTACAAAGTACAAATAACAAAGCTGGTGCTGCACTCTATAACTCTAGTTTTGGTGCTCTATTCTAGGTAGTTAGTTGTTTGTTTGGCAAACTTACAACTGGTCCAGAGAAGGAAGCTAGAAGAGATGATAACGTCATTTTAACATGTTTGTTTACCTACTCAGCTCATATACAGCTTCACCCCCCTTAACAGTAATGAATTCTTTAATACTCATTATTTTAACGATAAAGTATTAATGGTGATGCAAATTACCTCATTAGCAAGGGTAACAGAACTCCTAGTACCACCTTATCAGGGGTGTAGGATATTAAATCAGGTGATGACAGCTACAGTATTGGTAAATCACCATTTCGCGTGACTTGCGCATCACCGAATTTGATACCGTGAAAAAAAAACTGTGGCCCAATAGAAGCCTGAAAGTAGAGACCGTTAAAATATCTCCAGGAGTGTAAAATTAGTCCTCGTAGCCTGTAAATGACGTTGAGAATGTTCTAGAAAATCTAGTTATAAGTGATATTAGAGGCCTATTGTAGGCACAAAATCTCGGGAGGTATTTTTTAGATTTACTGCTCGGTATTCATTGTTTTACCCTTGTCATTGAGTGGAACTGAAAACTAATGATTTATTTCTGTATATCGCGTGTCATGATATGAACAAACTACCTGCTGATTCAATAAGCTTTAGAAAACTGATGTGTTCAGATCCATCTCTCATGTGACGAAATGTAGAATTGTTTTAAAAATGAAGAATGTATTGAAAAGTATGGTTATCGTGTATAATTGGGTGTATCACATGTATTTTGGTTTCTCGCTGATTGGTTAGTAATGGTGGTTCAGTTGTTGATGACATTAACATTCAACATGCGGGGTTATAAGTTAAAAGTATAGTTATTTTATATCACTGAAACAAGTTCACGTTAATGAGCTGTTTCTCCTGCACCGGGGGTTACCTAGGTGATAGACTTGAATCTGACTGGTTACCAACCGTTTCTAAAATATATGTCAGCAAGAAGTTGTCAGTGACCGATATTCGATAAACTGACCTGTATAGCTTTGAAAAAAGTTAAATTTGAAAATATTTACTTATTTAAACTCACCCCAAAATTCAGTCTAAATCATGACAGTATAACGCAGCCCATACTTCATTTCTATTTAGCTAGCGCTAATGTAAACAAATTTGCTGGCAAGGCTAAACTTGTTATCATAGCCAAGTTCAGCACACCTCAGTTAATAACGTAAATGCTCTTTATTTCAGCACACGAGTCATCTTGGATCTAATGAAGTGACAACGAAGATAGACACGTTAGAAGTAGCTATGAAGAATAAAGGAGGCTACACGCCCGGCGTCTCTTCGTACAATTCCGAACCCGCTATGGTAGGATACTATCTACTTTTTAAGATAGATACTATCTTTTTTATGAGATATTATTTACTTCCATTTTGTAATGATACTACTATGAGATATCATCTTCTTTAAAATGAGAGACTATTATATATACTTTATGTGATAGTATCTTCTTCCACTTATACACACACGTATTATAACTTGTACATTTCATATTACACGTGTCCGATATTTTGTACGTCACATATGTATTGTAAATATAGGACTTCATATTCTTTGTCAAAAGTAAAAACTTATAGTTATATATATAACTTGTTCGTACATAAAAAACATGTTGACATGCTCAACCTTCATTTTCTCGATACCAGGTTCATACCGTATAACCCTCTACTAAGAGAACGCTATCTTAATAATGTAATAAGAAAACACATTTACTTTTCTTAGTAATGCCTACAAACATTCTCTAAACGTTTAACGCTCATTTTTACTCCATTCTCAATCGTCCGGTAAAGTTTTAATAAGCTTTTCATTGAGATTTTATCACAGCAACAAATCACATGAGGTGTCCCGTGAGGTATTAGTATATATATTTATATATTATATAAAAATAGTTTTATTCAAAAGTATACAGATCATTCCTCACTCTCTCTCTCTCTCTCTGCAGACGACGTACTAACTGTACAAACACTCTTAACACATGACAGGAGTGCACTCAGGCTCTGCGTAACATTGTTACTCTCTCTCTCTCTCTCTCTCTCTCTCTCTCTCTCTCTCTCTCTCTCTCTCTCTCTCTCTCTCTCTCTCTCTCTCTCTCTCTCTCTCTCTCTCTCTCTCTCTCTCTCACTCTCCCAGTATTACTGTTTCCCTCTCTCTCTGTCTCAACAGTGTGAACATCAAACACTCGCATATTATTAGAGTATTGTCAGTTACAGCGTTTCAAATTGTTGACATGTAACGCATAATATGAGGGGAAGGTCCGAAGATTTGCATCACAGCTCTCTGATGTTGGGCACGTGTGTGGGTATGACGCGCGCTAATAGCGCTACCTGCGCACAACATGTCACGCGGGGACCACGTGGGGCCCTTAATTGGGCGCTCTAACTCGTTAAAAAGAGAGTTCTTGTCCACGAAGTAACGTCTGAGAGGGCGTGTGTGTGTGTGTGTGTGTGTGTGTGTGTGTGTGTGTGTGTGTGTGTGTGTGTGTGTGTGTGTGTGTGTGTGTGTGTGTGTGTGTGTGTGTGTGTGTGTGTGTGTGTGTGTGTGTGTGTGTGTGCGTGTGTGTGTGTGTGTGTGTGTGTGTGTGTGTGTGTGTGTGTGTGTGTGTGTGTGTGTGTGTGTGTGTGTGTGTGTGTGTGTGTGTGTGTGTGTGTGTGTGTGTGTGTGTGTGTGCGTGTGTGTGTGTGTGTGTGTGTGTGTGTGTGTGTGTGTGTGTGTGTGTGTGTGTGTGTGTGTGTGTGTGTGTGTGTGTGTACATAATATATATGTGTGTGCGGTTCACATGTTCTTCACTCTCATTGAAATATGTGCAGTTATATTCTATCTTTTCAGCGATTTGTGATAAACAAATTATAATCGAGAGAACTATGTGCTATATTTATCTGGGGATATGCTATTTCCGTCCTAAGAATTTATTCCTTATTTCACACGTATCTCCCGAACTTCGTTATCCTTGGCACACTGGCATGGTGCCAAATATTATTGAGTTCGTTAACTAGTCCTGTAACTTGATATCCAATAAAGTGTCTGACAGCAGCACATTCTAAAGGTCGGGGCGGGCTATCTGAGCGAGGACCAAACCTTCTAAACTTGTTGCAGATGTTGTAGAATATAGCGTTAGAATAGTGTGTAGAGCTATGATAAATTTTAACATGTACTTACTGTTAAGTTCAGAGCTGTGGCCTTATAAGTGATTTAATGTGTTATCTTACATTTGATCAGGTCACGTGACTCTGATCATTAGTTTATAGATCATTCTGGACTGCAAGACGTCCAGAGACGCTGTAATGCTGTAACAAACCAGATCCACTTATAAACTACTTGGAACATACAAATGCTACTCATTACATGGTTTCACTCAAGAATTCAAGTTTGTGTAACTAACCTTACAGCGACTAACATAGTTTCACTCAAGAATTCAAGTTTGTGTAACTTTGACTAACACAGTTAAACTTTTTCAGCCTACAATTTCGATCAGAAGGGAAGAATAAAGTGAGCCCTTGAGAGGAGATTTTTGAGCTGTTTTTAACGAACATTTTGCACACCATGGAACATGACAGGGCGTGAGAATGATTCTTGCCGAATGTATTTTGTATAATGATATATGCACCGTAAAATATTTACTGCAGTATACATTTTACTGTTGACGTACGCTTAATGTGTGCAAATTCCCCAACATAGACTGAGATGATGACGGGGCCGATCTCATTGTTTGATTTTATCCTACAAATATTTTAGAATAATCTCTGAAGAAAACAGAACTTTATGAAATGGTATCACCCTGATCGGTGACCGTTTCCTTGACTATTGATGCCTTCGTGGCTTTATATTTTGTTGATCAATGCTCCAGCCCGATTAACAAAGAGTTCCTTTTTTGGCAATTTTTTGGAATGGTTTGTGGAATTTTAGTGGTTAATAGAACTCGTAAATTTAGCGTTTAATAGCAGGCTTTTCATTGTTAAGCTGTTATTAAAGTTTATTTTCATGATTTGTTATATTTTTACTACATTGTTAACGTTTGCAATGGCACTAATAGCTTTTTATATGACTTCCTAGTTGATTTGAAAAATAAACACGGCAAGGCCTGCTGCTTTAATTAAGAGACCGTGACCATGAAAAGGCGAAGATTTTAAAATCGAAATTGAATGCTGGTTTTGTACATACGATATGCCATGATTTGTGGACTAAATCTTTTTGCTTTTAATTCAAATTGCATTTTGTACCTCAATAAACATATGTTCATGTGGTAGTAATAGATTTGTATCTAAATACAATTACTGTAAATCTCTTAATTTCTGTTACTTTGAATAAATTGTTTCATGTTTCCTGATAGTTTGCCACATCGGTTTATAACGATCCGATTCTTAAAATTAAGTCGTTCGTGAATTTCATTTCATTTCGAATGGTATGAATAAACTATGTAGTATTGATGCCGAGATTTTCGATAATCATTGATCAACCAAAGTAGATGCTTTACAATTTGTTCCTTATCAAAGTCTATTGTGTCCCTTGACGTCGCCTAAGAAAATGTTGATCTTGAAATTCGATTTATGCGTCAGAATCAGCTTAAGGTACGAACATGGTGAATACAGCCTCATTGCATAAGATGTGTTGCAGTGCGGCGGGCGCGAGCGCCAAATCAATAAATTGTTATGAAAGCTTTATAAATCTTGCGCAAAACGCGCACGTACACATTACATTTTATCTAAATAATACAAATGGGGGGGGGGGGGGGGGGGGGGGGGGGGGGGGGGGTGTAACCCAAAAAAACCCAACTCCTACCCAAGAAAAGGTAATACTGGGATTGGGTTTTTTGGGTTTTTTAAACAAAATTTAAACAAAATTCTAGCCATTTCATTAATTGTATTGAATGTGAATTATTTCCCACTGAGTCTTACCTACGTGTTGTTCTCATGTCTTAACTTAATAGATAGTTTACATAGTATATAAGTGTGTTTATATTGATAGTATGTTATCACGATAGCAAACAGGATGTCTCGTTCATCGAGATATAATCCATATGAATGCACAAAGTGGAAATGTGGCAAATGTGGCAAATGTGTTCTCCTGTCATGGAAGGAGGCTATGACGAAGGTCAAGGGCACTTGTCAAAGCACATGACTTAAATTACTTGACTTAAGGCGGCTTCAGAGTCCGAGTCTCGATGATGTGTCTCCAAAGCTTTCTGTCCGCCATAAGCTCCTTAATCTCCCCAGTGTTCCTGGGTCCAGTGTCACTCATTAGGTTATCGACGAAGGTGAGCGGTGGTCTACCCCTCCCTAGGTTCCCACAGTGGCTGCAAAAGCGCAAATTGCAAACTAAGTATTTTCGCGCGTTTTCGCGCGTTTTGACAAGATATATATTATGAGCACTCTTTAAATGCTTTTCATAAATTCCAGAACAATCCTTTTAGTATGATTTTTAATACAACATACAATTTATGGTTTAAATATCATTATCTAGCAATTTTGAAATTTCTAGCTTAACTGTAAATAGAGTTAAGTGCATTTTAAAACAAGTAAAAGTCTTCCATTTTGTTTTGATCATAACATTTTAACTAAGTAAAAGTATTTGGGCATATTTACACGAAATGATCAGAAATTGTCTAAATAACAATACAGTCAAAGTTTTAATGATCGGCAGTAAAATATTCGTAACCAAAACGTTAATCAAAGTTATACGAATTATACTTATTTGTTTACAATATTGACTTTAAATTGAACAAAATGCGCGGAACGCGCGCGATCTTATATCATATATGCGTAGGTGAAGAAAGAGACTAGCCATCTTTACAACAAAGGAAAGGATTTAATAACCTCTACTAGCCTTAGAGCATAACCATGCTCTTTCCACAATGCACAAGTATGAGCAAATAACTCCTTTCGCAGGAAACTAACGCCCTCACAGGCTCCCACGTTTCATGTAACCGACCCCAGGTTTTGGTTTTAGATCGGACACTCAAAACAAAGATAGAAGAGCGGTCTACACGCTTACAGGCTACCACGTCTCTTGGAAACCCAGGATTTAGTTTTGGATCGGACAATCAAAATACCGATATAGATAAACATAAAACAATAGAGGAGCGGTCTACACCCTCACAGGCTACCACTGACCACGTTTAGTATAAGCCAGGATTTAGTTCTGGATCGGAAACTGGAAGCAAGGATATAGGAGCGGTCTACAGTGACGTTACAGGTTTAAAGGTATAGTAGTTGAAATCACTTTTACTTTTAGCAATATTAATGGACTGCAGTTCAAAAATATGGAAATATTCAGGAGCAGGACATGGACACTGTGTGGTTTGAGATATAAACCCATAGGTGAGGGCCAGAGACAAGTTTCCGCTTAGACATGACAGTACCTAGACAACTGTGTATCAACTGTTTGAAGATCCCGTTAACCAGATTTATAAGTAACACCTACCAGGAACACTACATACGACTACGAGTTGCACGTAGCAGGCCATGACCTTCCCTGAGAGTTCCTGTCTCTCCGTCTTTAACCCGACGGAATTGCACCAGGGGTGGTGGTAACAGAGCTTCAAGACTCTCGGAGTCTGTAGCAGATATCTATGTTTTAAGATATCAGCTACATACTCCGAGAAAGAAGACTCCTAACTAAAGCATGCAATGAAATATCAGATTCTTAGAATATCATATCAAGTGGTCGAGACAGTTTTAAAAATGTTAAAATTCGAGTGTTGAATGACATAGCACGTACAATGTACATCTTTACTTTCAGTCTTCTCCATCGCTGATTTCTGTAAATCCTATAATGACTTTTTTCAAGAAATTTAGCCCGCCTAACTCCGAGGAACTTATAATGTCGGCTGGATATAGAGACTTGATCTTTTTTCGTTTGCCGTTATTATATCGTCCCTATAAAATAATACAATTGTAATCTTTGACTTGTATATAAAAATAAATGTCTATTTACAAACGCAAAATTGTATCATCTATCTCCAATGTTTGTTTAGTGCTGTGGGACTAAATCGATAAATACGCTGGAAGCTATAGATCAAAGAGTCTTAAAATTAGGGTGGAATTTCTAAATAGGTACAGCATATTGCAACAGACTCTATGTCTGTAAGAAATCGGTTTAACTCCTTAGTACTTGCTCTAGGAATTCCTTCAACAATGTGATTTAGGAACAGATCGCCACGCAAAATCGATGTTTCTAGTGTCTGGCCCAGATTTTTGACGTAGTTTCCAAGCCAAGACCGGGAACTCCTGTAATTTATACTGTTTATCAATTATGTAATAATCTCTGATCTACGTAATACAAAGAGAAACGAGACTTCAGAGATCTCCTGGATTATGCTGGAGCGTAAAAGGATAAATATAGCAGAGACGTACGTTATTAAAATTTACTCTGCAATAAACGACGAAAAACGGTGATATTATTATTGATAAAAGTGCTTACCTTATATTTCGGACATCTTTTTGCATATATTCTATCCCCTCCTCCGACATATTTTTGAGAAACTAACACGCTCACAGGCTCCCACGTCTCATGTAAACCCAGGTCACAGGTTTTGGTTTTGGATCGGCTACTCAAAAAAATGAAAGAGGAGCGGTCTACACGCTCACAGGCTACCACGTCATATCAAGTGGTCGAGACAGTTTTCAAAATCTTAAAATTTGAGTGTTGAGTGATTTAGTACGCACAGTCGCACATTTTTACTTTCAGTCTTCTTCATATCGCTGACCTCGTTAATTTCTTCTCTTTAGTACGTCCCTATAAAATAATACAATTATAATCTTTAACTTCATTTCCAGGGTTAAACTACCACTGGTAAGCAATTCGGAAAATCATGGGACGGCATAATGCCGGGGCGGGTATGAACCGCCAACCTCCGGGTTACATGCCTAGTGCTTTAATTGAGCTACCGGCCCTATTCAGCTCAGGAATTTCTTGCAAGCGAATCAGTAAGCAATCTTGTTGTTATTTCATATCTGCTGCTATTAGTACACGTACTGCATTATATGCAGCAGGGATAGCCACTGCCACTAATGATCATGGCTCTAGCTAAATGTTTTACTCCATCGGGGCAGCCGAGGCACGTGCAATGTTTGTTTAAAGCTCTCGAGCTAAATTGATAAATAGATTAGACAACCTCGGAAGAGACGCCGGCAGTGTTAGATCAAAGAACCTTAAAATCAGGTTATTCATGAATTTTCGGGAGGTCTTTTAGAAGAATGTCAAAATTCAAGTGTAGAGTGATTTAATCACCACGCTCAGCTATCTAACGTACGGAACGTTCACTAAAAATAGTTTGTGAACGCGTTCGCTAAAAAATTTTAACGTTCGGAACATAAGGAAAGTTAATTGCTATTATGAAATTAAAATGCAGGACATAGCCCAATTATCCGGCAAAGTACTAGCGTTTCCATTGCCAGGCCTTCAGGGCCTTGAGGTATGTTACAAATACAAATGTTGTTTGATCTTGAGCTGAATGGTTGTTATACTATAATATCGTATATATAAGAACGATGTACATTTTACACATCGATCCCTAATGAAGTTTTGTGGAAGATCAAATTCCAGAGAAAGAAACGTATCCTTGAGCAACTTTAAGTTTAACAATTTTACCTTTGACTTCTTAAGTTTCAGCCTTCAGGGTAATCATACCCCAAATCTTTTGGGAAGTACCATGAACAGACCGTTAAATCGACCGCAAGATACGAGAACAGTATATTTGCTGTGGTAACCATAGTTGGTCAGTTTGGTCATTGTTTATTTACTGTCTAATTCCAACAACATGGTTTTATCTCATTGTATCCATCTTAAGTTAAAAACTATCGGAAAATTATCAAAATATTGACTAACGTATACTAACGTTCACAAACGTTCACTACAAAATGATTGGAACGTACGTTCAGTACGACTAAGTTCAGCGTTCACTACAACTAAGGTTAAAAGTGCGTTTAAGTACATTTACCGTTGAATTCACCGTTTTACGAGAGTAATACGTTTTATCAAGAGTAATACAGAGAAAGAGTCCCGACAGTCTCCCTGATTGCCTCTAAATATATTCACGTGACACATATGCCGGTCTTAAACTAACATCATCCAATTAATGGAGTATAACTAAGCCTGTCAGTCTGTAGAGTAAACAAAAGGGGTGACAAAGAAGCCTAATTAAGGAAAGTGAGGTGGAAACAGCTTGCTAACCGTGTGTAATGAGGTTAATAACAAAAGGCCAATAACCACATAGGAAGATGAACTAGTAGTCTAAAATGATGTGTACACTGGTGACAGGAGCGTACAATTACACATGTCTGATATCACAAAAATATCTGAAACCAAGCTTCCTGAATTTCTGCTCAATTGGCCGATACGAATGGCCCAAATATGGGAGGAGATCTAGAGGGTGCAAGAAACAACTGGAAAAAATGATGAACCTTTTTTAGGAAACACGGATATAGTTCTAGAAGGGCCGATCGAACTAGACCAACTTGAATTGACGCATTTTTGAACACTGATTCATATCTTGAAGTAATTGTAAAACAGATACGGTAATAATTAACATGTCAGGTCATATTATTCTGAAATAATTGTAAAATGCCTACCTGCCTAGGTCGATGAAGTCTGGAACGAGTTTCCAGTTTCGTGACAGCGCTTCTCTCCATTTATCTCTATCACTCATGAGCCAACGAACCTTATCAGATTGCAATGCAGTATCTTCTGATCTTGTAGGATGTCCGGAAAGGTCTTATGAGGTCGTCCTATATACCGATGGCCATAGGATGGTTGTTAGAAAAGGAGTTGCTGAGCAGATTGGTACTGACGGTAGAAATGTCCTGTAAAATAGATACAGTAATATAAAATATCGGGTCATATCCTAAAATAGAGTAACTGTAAAATAGATACGTGTACGGTAATACTAATAACGTTCAGCCATAATATTTTGAACGATGAATTTATCTAAACAAAAGCATTCTTAATAGAAACTTGAACATTTTTACTCACAAACGATCCATTGGTTAATCATGCTCCTGTCTCGAAAAGAGTATTTAGCTCAATATGAGGGCGTGTATCTTTATTAGAATTCACAGAATCCATTTTCTAAAACCGGAGAAGTATAGTATAATAAAGCAATTTAAAATTTGCACGATCAACAAAACATGACAATAATATGCTCATGTCATCAACTTCATGAACAATAAAAAGCATCTAACAAATATGCCAATACACAATGAATAACAAATTTTTAAAAAAGCTGTGAACAGAAGGTAAAAAACTGCGAACAAAAGGTAGCGTACGATCGCGTTTTGAAACAGTGCACAAAGAAATGATCCTAGATTGAGCTCTAGAAATCTAATTTTTGAGTGGAGTACTTGTGGAAGAGGTAATGCAAATTAATGCTGCCTGGTATGTGGAAGAGGCTGACTGAAAAGCTTGCAGAGTATATTGGCTCTAGCTTGTAGCTGTTTCATCAAAAATTGTGTTGACTGTGCGCGGCTCGACCGCGCATTTTTACAATATTTGTGCAAATGGCAAAATCATGCGTTGTTAACGATAAATCGACGTAAGGTCTACTTAGTTCGACTGACGGCGGGGCGCCAAATTTGTGCGCTAGTTGCAGCGCAGCCACTGTGGTTCCCAAAGGAGAAGTTGGTGTGCTGCCAGGTCATCATGTCGCTGGATGTGCCCAGCCAACCTCATTCTTCTGGCCTGTATCTTCGAAATAACGCTTGGGAGTGATCCAAAGACCTCCTTGTTGGTGCGATGTCCTCTCCAGTCCACGTTTAGGGCCATCCGAAGCATTCTACTGTAACATCCGTCTATTCTTTTCTTCAAAGATTCTGTTATTGTCCACGATTTCGTTCCATACAGGAAGATTGATTCAACCGTAGCTTGAACAGACGGATCTTTAAATCTCGGCGCAAATTGGACCTCCATGATATAGCCTACATTTTGTGGTAGGCAGCCCATGCCTTGGCCTTGCGTAACCTAAAGTCGTGCTCCGTTGTACTAAAATCCTCAACTTCTTCTAAGGCATGTCCGTCCTTAGAAATTATTGTGTGTGGCTCCTCTCCTACTAAATTAACTGTAAGATGCTTGGTTTTAGACAAAAGAGATTTCCTGCCTCCTCATCAGATGAGGCTTCTGTAGGACTGTACTGCCGTTTTCTCAGAAAAGGCAGTAAGTCCATATTTGCCATTTCGAGATATTGCGACTTATGCGTTTATGGTTTTTTCTCCGCTTACTTTTTGCGTAAGATCGAAAGTAAACACGTTGAGTTATCAATAATTAGTCAAATTTTAATTTGTCAAAAAAATTAAAGCTTTGAGCCGTCCATAAGCTTAGATATAACCATTTTTATGCCAAATAATCGAACTTATTTTTCATACTGGATGGACTTACTGCCTTTTCTGAGAAAACGTGGACTTACTTCCTTTTCTGAGAAAAATCTCTGTTCAATATTTTTCTGAGAAAGAAGTAAGTCCAAGCTTTTTACTAAATTTTTGAGGTTGGGATCTATGTATTTTGGATTATATTGTAAAATATAAACAATTAGGTAAATCTAAATTGCTCCATATCATATAATAAATGTTTTTGAATAATAGTATGCCCTTATTTAGGCAAACTCGCCAATTTTGAACGATTTCAGTGCATTAAATGATATCTTATCGATATTTTGATGAAAATGAACTTGATCTAAAAGAAATACCTAAACTAAACATTCTCTGCGATTATAACAGCTCAATAACTGCTCCAATATTTATGTTTTGCGACTAAAATACATCCGACGTTTTTGAAAATCGGCCACCAATTTTTTTTGAGGCCTAAATGAAAATTTTGATCACTTACGTAAGGTTGAAATGTGCAGTAAAGTTATGTTATTTTTGGGAAATCGCTTTCTAAAATTCCGTTTTTAGCATGCTTTTATAGGAAGTAAGTCCAGCTACTTCTTCCTATCACAGATAATTTATCCCAGAAAAGGCAGTAAGTCCACGGAATTACTTCCTTATCTCAGAAAATTTTCAAGATTTTCTCAGAAAAGGCAGTAAGTCCGGACTTACGTCCTTCTCTCAGAAAATAATTGGCCAAAACCGAACATAATGTTTCTCAACTGGGACTTACTTCCTTAGGAATTGCATGCAACAATGTTTCTATACATTAATATGTAGCTAATGTTGTAGAGAATTTCCTACTGAAAATTTTGATACCAATATTGTCATATTTCGAAAATTTGGACTTACTGCCTTTTCTGAGAAAACGGCAGTGTAGCATGTGATGACAGTGAGCCTGGGCTTTCCATTAAGGGGGCCGGGGGGGTCTTCATCAAAATTCTCTCGAAATTGACTTTATAGTTGTTTCTGATAGAGTGTGGAGTGGAGTGATGTCTATCAGCTGTTTTTGATCCCATGGAAAAATATTGTTCCTAGCCGAAATTATTGCCGGTCAAAGGTCAGCGCTTATGTGTAATTGTATTGCGCGAGCGATTTTCAATCGCGCGCCCTGAAAATCAAGTCTAAAAATCTATCTTCTCCTACATTTTTTGAGCGATCACCCTGAAACTTTCAGGATATGTTCTAAGGACCATTTAGAAGAGATTTTTGGGCCAGAATTTTGAGATAGGCCTTAGAAATTTGTTTATTCAATTTTAAAAATCATGGACCTGAAAAAATCGTCAAAAAAACGAGGTCCAAGATTTTCAAAATCGAATAAAAAATGTTCTAAGGCCTATCTCAAAATTCTGGCCCGACAATCTCTTTTAAATGGTCCTTAGAACATATCCTGAAAGTTTCAGTGTGATTGCTCAAAAAATGTAGGAGAAGATAGATTTAGACGGAGCAGAGAGTGACGAAGCGGAAACAGATGATGAAGAAGAGAGTGGAGGATACTGACTCATCAGAGGAATGGGCGAAAATAGTAACTGTGTATGGTGATGCTCTGCATCATGATACGGCTGTTGAGGTTTGCCTCAATGGAGGGCGAGATCGAATGCCATCCCAGTCAAGATTTGAGCAACTCCAGGGCCATAAACAAGCGAAGATATCACTTAATATCACATGTGATCATGCAGCTGATGCAATGGTAACTGCAAGATTCTTTCAGTTGGAAATAGAGCATGGTTTCTCGTTAAGCGGATGATCAGGAAAACGGAAACAGAGATCGTGAAGGTGAGAAGAAAGGCTTTATTCCTCTCGTACCAGTTGCGGTCAGGGTTGGGGTCATCAGTGAGTTGCGTCCCTACTAACTCAATTTGCCATGGCCATCGAAGTGAGCATTACATATGGCTGATATCATATCTGGATGGCCAACTTCTTCTGAGCACATCAGTGAATAAAATACTGCTTTTGGGTGATATTTAAGCGATTATATCTATTGTGATGTTGTAGTGATGAACCACAACAGTGATGTTGTACTGATAATTGTTTTGCTAGGTGCTTACATGATTTTATTTCCTTCAAATGAAAAATTTGTAAAAAAACCAAAAAAACCCAACTCCTACCCTGAAAAAGGTAATACTGGGATTGGGTTTTTTGGGTTTTTTTGGGTTACACCCCCCCCCAAATTGCTTATGCATGGCTTAACACACGCGCTGCAACCCCTTTTGATCGCGCGCGCCGGCCGGCCTTCGTGTGCATGAGAGAGGCATATATGACGTGAAGTATATTAATGCATATATTAATTCTGATACCTTGTAAAAGCAATACAAATTATTCAAACAATATACACATAATATAGTAATGACCATTTATAAAATCAACCCTTTAAGAATTCAAAAAATTCCCTTAACAATCAAAAATTACCCTTGGCCTAAGGCCTTGTAGCTCCAAGTTATATATATATATATATATTTTGTTGCTGTACTCCTACACATTAAAAGTCGGTGTTGATTAAATCTTCGAAATAAGTCTTTGCATCATTTTATTAAACATCGTTATCTGAAATAAAATTGTTCTAAAAGCAACTGGAATATTCACAAATCTTTAAAATAACTTACAAACTAGGAAAGGAAAACAAGTCTTAGGAAGACGTACAAAACTATGTGACTTAAAACGGTACAAAACTAAAATATACTGAGTAATAATCAAACGAAAAGAATGGCTGTGTACATTTTATCTAATCTATTAAAGATTAGTATCTCGGAAAAAGCTAGATTTCTCTGAATCAAACAGTAAAAATATATAGTAAAACAAAGTATTTTAGTAAAGTAAAAAATATAAATATATATATAAATAGTTATGAATATAACACGTCTCTGATAGCAATATTGTAAACTAAACACGGGTTTATAGGCTAAGATCATGTTAAATAAAATAAATAAACTAAACACTAAGCTCCAGCGGATTTAAAAAGGATGTGGTTACTATCGAGGGTGTTTATACCCCCATAACGCACAAGGGTTTTCAATTGGGTCTGGTAGAACCCCTCTCTAGCTTCCATGGCCTTTTCCCTATCTGCTTGACTTATTTCAGGTTTAAATTCTAGAGCGTCCACTATAATAACAGAAAGGTGCGTACTAAGTGAAGAGTTATATAAGGCTACTGAACTAAAATCTAAATCATGATCAATATCTAAAAAGTGGTTTACTAACTTACAACTCCTGATACCTTTCTTAATGTGGCTCTTATGATTAGAAAATCTCTTAGGGAGATTAGAATTAGTATATCCTACATACGACTGTTTACAAGTTCTACACTCCATTAAATAAATAAGGTTATTACTCTGACAAGTTATATATTTAGTAATAGGGAAAACTTGTTTGGAATGGTGACTACTAAATTTGGAACAAGGGGACAGGAAACTTTGCTTACAAACATAGCATTTTCCACAGGCATGGCACCCTGCGTTGTCAGCCTCCCGAACAGCCGGCAATATTGCAGCGTCTGGTTCAAGAAATTGACTAGCAGTGGCTTCTCCATCTCTATCACTGCTTACAGTTCCACTAGCACGATACTTATTGTGTACAAGCATGCCACCGATAGTTTGATTCTTTCGGTGACTTACAAATACACTGTCAGCACGTACTAGCTTCTTCAAGGCTGGATCGAGATTAAGAAGGTGCTTATACTTGTGAATAATGCTCCCCATGTTGGGAAGTGCTGGATTCTGATCCATCACCATGGGTATTAGACAAGTAGTCGTCTCATCCTTATTTTTAGGGGCATACAAGTTTTTCCTATTGGTTATATCACTAAATTTGTTGAAAGCATCGTCTACAATACTAGAATGGTAACCACGGGCTACAAGGTAACCAGTATATACCTCCCTTTGCTCTAAGAAATTAGTGTCTTCACTATTGTTCTGCCTCACTCGCCTTGCCACACCATAGGGTATGTTTTTGAGAACATGGCTCCTATGACATGAGGTGGGGATGAGATAGCAGTGGGTGTCACTGGGCTTAGAGTAAAGTTTCTAGATTTCTGACGTTGGTTGAGGGCATTACATGAATCTACATAAAATGGGTCTTTAACTGCACACTTAAAATTGATCTGAGTAGCAATTCCTCTGGGGATATTACCATTGTCTCTCGTAGTCTGTAAGTATCTCAATTGACACGATGCCCTCACTGATCTGACAGCTAAGTTGTCCAGTTTAGACATCGGGGGAATCGTGATGATTAAATTGTTGCTGATAATATAATATATATATATATATATATTATGATTGGCTACTGGGACACGTCATACACACGGTTGGATTGTTAATTCGGTTGAAGTACCTTTACATCCATTATCACCATAATCTGAACATGATTTATTAAAAATTTGCAATATCGAAAACGAAAAATCTGAATAAACTGAAAATTTTGAAACTGAAAGCTGCACTCAAATGATGGAAGGCAAAAATTTACTCATAACTAGCAAGGTAATAACTACAAATGAACAGCAGATTTATAAATCTGCTGATAAAAATTAGATAAAAGACATGGTAACTGATAAGAGTTTGAAATTACACGTAAGCAGATAAATTGTCTAAAATTTCTGTCTCAAATCAAGTTTATAGTGCATCATGAATTTAGGCTTGTTCGATCAAAGTTATATTAGGAGATATTAGGAAAATAGTTATACAGTCTAGTTCAAATAACTTGAAAGCCGCGCCTGCTTGAGACCTAATTCCTGCGTGAGACCTAATTTTTTCCGTTCGACCTAGTTACATCTTGGTGACAGTAACAATGGATAAGCTTTTTGGTTCAATTGTCTATTTGCTATTGTCTCTGAGCAGTGATATGGTTGCGATGTACTTGAATAATAAATTAAATTAGATGAAATAATGTATCTGAAAGGAAGTATAGATTTTCATTAAACAGTTTTAAATATCTTATCCTTTCATGGGTTAGCACATGAACAAGTGATAGATGTGTTCCATTATGTCAATCAGTTCCAGAATACGACTCTGAATTCCACAATGAGGTATGTTTAAGAGTCTGCTGCTCTAATAGGATTGTGATAATAATATTTTTTCTCTTCAATACACATTGGGTAATTACATTGAGTAACATTGCAATTCAATTCAATTCAATTATGAAATTATGCAACATAAATGAATATTCAATGATTTAAGTATATGAATTAATGGTGTTTAAAATGTTTTGCAGGCTGCCTATAATCCTACAACAGGGGGGGGGGGGGGGATATGATTCCGTCTCTGATTCCATGCCCATTTATTCCTCAGCTTTTGGTCGATTGGGCATGGGCATTGAGAAGCTATTTAGCATTATGTTAGCTATTGTGTGAAATTACACTCTAATGTAAACATCCCTAAACTCCCTCCTCTCTAGAGTAGCTTGCACAACATGTGAACAAATTTTCCCCATAGCATTGTATTACATTCCAATACATGCAATATTGATAATGATAAAAATTCTCACCACAGAAGACACAAAGGCAAGATTTTAAGAGGCAACCAGAACACAGCTAGAAATGAATCAACCAACTTCAGGTACCTATTAAAAAGTTAGATCCACATACATCTTGGATGTATCCTGTATCTTAGAGATTATTGTGACCTTAATTGTCATACTTAATACTCAAAATCAATTAAAAGAGAACTTCTCTATACCGGCCCTTCAGTGTAAACAAAAAGTGCACAAAGCAGTATAGTTAGAAAAAACGTGGTATAGATAAGTTCATATTATCATGATCCCTATAATATACAGTAGTATATACCCTCCCAAATAACATTTCAAACTTGTTTAATATACCCCATATTAGGAGCCTTGTATGTAGGTACAATTGTGAAGAATATGAGAGATCCGGTGTATTGTGGTACCTGGTATAGAGAGACAGTATATAGAGATTGGAGGTTCTACTGTATTATTTAAACCTGAAAGCAAATTTCTAACCAGTATACATTTTAACAGTAATATTTTAGTTCCCTAGCTCAGTCTGAACAGCTCTGGGGAGACGATCTAGCTTGGGAACAAGAACATCGTAAAAAACTTGAATTTTTAAATGCTATGGTAGTACATAACCATTCTGGAGATCTGGGACAACAAAATCCTCAACAGCAAGTTCATTCAATTAGAACGGTAAATGAACCTAACCATTTTGGAGTTCTGGGACAACAAAATCCTCAACATCAAGTTCATTCAATTAGCACGGTAAATGAACCTAACCATTTTCGAGTTCTGAGACAACAAAATCCTCAACAGCAAGTTCATTCAATTAACACGGTAAATGAACCTAACCATTCTGGAGTTCTGGGACAACAAAATCCTCAACAGCAAGTTCATTCAATTAGCACGGTAAATGAACCTAACCATTCTGGAGTTCTGGGACAACAAAATCCTCAACAGCAATTTCATTTAAATAACATGGTAAATGAATCTACACATTTTAGATTTCTGGGACAACAAAATCCTCAACAGCAAAAAAAGGGTGACCTGCAAAGTCCTTTGCATCTTCCTTGTGCATCTTCCTTCATCTTCCCTGATTCACAATTAATGGGCACCAGACAGAAGGATATTCAAGTCAATCCAGAAGCTTCCTCCTCTCAGTCAACTGCAACTGGTATGTTATTATGAAAGTTTCTCAATTACTCATTGATGAAGGACGACCTTATTTTGGGTCGGAACTGGCTATATTTAAGGTGTATGGGTTTATTTTGAGTTATAGCCACGCTGGTTTAATCATGCCTGATTATATCGTAATTTAGATGTCTGTACACTAATACCATAAATTTCATTAATTTGGGAAAATGGGCCACTATACGGCCTTTATACGGCCTCTATATGGCCTTTATACGGCCACTATACGGCCTCTATACGGCCTTTATACGGCCTCTATACGGCCACTATACGGCCACTATAATACGGCCTCTATATGGCCTTTATACGGCCTTTATAATACGGCCACCTAAAAATAACATCATATAGCCATTATACATGTATGTACATATGTATGGTCATTATATGGCCACTAAGCAAGTTACCACTCAACAAATAACCGCTTGCAGTTTACCGCAATACAGCCGCGTTAATTTTGTCGCATCACCAACGAGGCCGAAGGCCGAGTTGGTAATTACGACAATTAACGCAGAAAACAGAGTGTTAATTCTTATGACAAGCAAAACAAGGTATGAAGCATTCATTAACGATTTTGGCGATTGCCCCCCCCCCCCCCAACCCACACCACCCCCCCCCCCCCCCCCCCCCACCCCCCCCCCCCCCCCCCCCCCCCCCCCCCCCCCCCCCCCCCCCCCCCCGGCCCCCTGATTATTCTGCGTATAGACTATAGAGGCCGTATAGAGGCCAAACCTAATCGCCCATTTTCCCATTAATTTTATTAATTTCAAATTTAATATTTACTCGTTCAGTATCAAGAAAATAATAGTAGAGTTGCAAGAGTAATTTACCTTGATTTAAGTCATCTTGTTTCAGTTGTTTTGCAGAAAGAGCTAAGGTTAAACAAATTACTGGACCAATGAACTTTGGAATAGAACTGCTTTACTCAAAGACGCACAACAACATAGAACTACATACCCAAGAGGGAGCAGTGGTGCAGGCAAACTCAGCAATAATGGCTTTGAACAGCCCTGTAATTCATCGCATGACTACAACCCTGGAACTTACGATTATTGATATGGAGGAGTTCAGTGAGCAATCTGTGCAGTGTTTCGTGGAAGCTGCTTACACAGGCAGTTTACCATCAATCACTAAAGGCATTTTTAGAGATCTCAACAAAATTGTTCATGCCTTTAAAGTGGATTGGTTGCAAAGTAGCTGCTTTGCAATTTTTCGCGATTTCAGTTTTACTGATACTAAGCCAGGCAATCAGCTATCATATACAGATCTCTGCTTTTTATTTGATGAGGCTGCTTTCGTTCTCTCTAAGCTAAAGCAAGAGAACTTTATGGATGAAGCTCTCAATAAAATTAAGGGTACTGGAACCAAACAGGAATTTGTAACACGATATTTGATCGATAATGATTTAGAAAAAGTACCCTGTCATCAACTTGACATGGTTATTAAACTTGTTGGAGACGATGTAGAGCTAATAGTTCAGCATGTAAGAGAAAAGCTCCTGGTTCGATTAGGTCTGGAAGGAGCAGTGATTTCACCAAACTTTAAATATCTACTGCAGAACTGTGACCTCTCACATTGTTCGAAGAGAAATCCTCAGTTGATCGAGCAGCTTTTTGACATACTCCAGGAGGTTGCTACGAATGAGGATCTTAAATGGGTTCTACGGCTACACAGAAAATTAGCCAGCTTATAAATAATTTACCGATTAATTAAGAAAAAATATTTGTCGACGATAAATTTGAGGTGACTGTCTTTATTTTTGTAATATTATAAATACAATTTATGGTATCTTAGCTGCGATTATAAATTTTTATTTGCTGTTAAATACTTCTATTATATCTTTTATTTTATCTTTTATCTTTTATCTTTTATTTTATCTTTTATCAATTTTAATTCATTAAATCACAACAAACGGTCAATTCGCAGATAGTTTTATCTTCAGATGTGTTTTTAATCAGATTCTGTATGTTACTATTATGAAGATCTTTGATAGTTTGATATCATATTATTAATGATACTATTCTCCAGAAAATTTGTATTTTTTGTCAATATTAAACAAAACATTGATCTGACAATGAAAAATGTCTAAAATTCGACAAATTACATATTAAAGTCCGCCTCATATTCCTCCTCCTTTATAAATCATTAATTATAGGCCCCATGTCACGTAAAGGAGGGGCGCGGGGTCGGCCCTTTGGTCACCACAACAAGGCCAAAGCAGCAGCGGAGTCTGGTAACGAAGTGTCAAAGAAGCTGCTCATGAACGCTCTAAGGAGTGGTAAGTGTGACTTAGAGTTTATTTAGAGGTAACTTAAAGGTTACTTAGAGTTTATTTAGAGGTAACTTAAAGGTTACTTAAGTTTATTAACTTTACGATCACAGTATGATAATTCAATTTGTATCTCTATAGTTTGTGTTAAAGCTATAAATCAGCTGTATATGGTAAGTTCTGTGGGCTTGGAACCATCCGAGCTGTATGAAGCGACATATTTCTATGCTTAGGTCTGATATGAGTTTTCACTAGTGTAGGTCGAAGATTCAGTTGTAATACAACATTAAATCCTGTTGAACATCATCGCTAAAGTTAGACTATTTCCCAAAACCTGTCACCAAACTTCACACCCTGTCTGCTGTAGTGTTGATAGGATCTCTTAATACTATTATCTTACTATCTTAACTACATGTAGCCTCAACATGGGAATCTTTCGAACTGGACAGAACCAAATTATCTCACGATAAACTGTAAAATAATCTTGAATTTTTCTCACTGCACGACATAACAATATGGTCACATTAGATCTAAATGATCTCATCAAGTAAAGATGAGCACGTTGAAGAGCTGGAAGCGGAGAGAGTGGAGGCTGTAAAGCTGATAGCTGTCAACTGCTGAGTTACCCCTTACAAGTGCATGGAGTCCGGTAGCGGCGTGTACAGTGTACTGTGTGTATACAACTGCCGTGTGTTACCGAGCTTGTATATTATATTTATACGTGCTAAGACAGTGTCCTGGATGTTAGTTCGGTCGCTCTTCGTTCGATTTGTGCTGTTAGAAATGTCGTTTACTTGTTGGGCTGACCCCGTGTACTCTAGTAGTAGTACTCCCTGCTACTAGAGTAGTGTTGTAGTGATAGATATTTAATATTGTAGAGCTGTAGTTTTAGTTCGTTCTGTCGCAACGTGAAATAAGCTCGAGCTGAGTTGGACATTGTTTTCAAGTACACTGATTAAACACAGTGGACTAGTAAAGCTTTGCAGCTGATATTGTGTCCCTGTAGTAGTCTACAGTGTGTTGCTGCTCACATGCACGTTTAATAATGCTTGTAACGTTGAATATTCTGTACAATATTGGTAAACTAAACATATTGTCATTTGTAATTTGCAATTTGTTCAACAAGTTTCTGGCAGTAGCGCTCGTGTTTTTAATTTTGTCAATTTGTGTGCGGGATTTCGCGTCGTTACGTGTATTTAAAGAACTAAAATGTCCCCAAAATAGACGCTATCACCTATAAAATTGTCAATTTGTCATTATTGCTTTATTGATTAGTTCTATCACACTTTGGCTCCAATTTTAACTTCAGTATTCGAGCTTGTTTTCAAAACGTGTTTAGTCCGCATGGGAATTGTGAACTTGATGGACATTATATATTATGGTTTAAGTCACAATTCCGTTTCACATGGAATTGTATAAATCATATAATCGAACTCTGAGATTAGCAAATCATTATACTTCAGAGTCTTTTCCATATGACATGTTTATTGGCACCAGACAGATCAATCAGTTCAAAATTCTTTCCGAATCTGATTTTATCTAAGGGTCTTATTGTAGTGATACTACAGTCAGCTAATTAGGTTCAGTGCTGTTCACTTCACGCTTCCCACACACTTTCTTGCACTGTGGTCTACTTTTAATGATAAGTAATCATGGTTAATATATATTTATCACCTGGAAGTTCAAGAAATAAACGGTCAATAAATTCACAATTTCCAAAATTATGCTGCTTGCTGAATAGATGACCCCAAGCCTAAATTTAAATACCATGCGCTGTATATTTCAAAGTGTCTCCCATTCAAATTGTCTCTTTATTCCAATTATAAAGTGATTAATTTACCAAATTAGTCAACTTAGAGCCCGACTCCCTACACAGTATTTCTGTAGGTTCCTATAAAGGTCAGGCTATCGAATGAGCATGCAGTGTCCCGACCAATGACAGCTAGAGTAGGGAACCACGTGAGATAATAGCGAGAAGTTAATGATTACATTATTGGACCAACATGATACATGTAATTTGATGTGCCACCTAAAGGTGGACATGTCGCCGGATCTTTCTCTGTACAGTTTGTGTTTTGTGTGATGCTCCTTGGTAGCGTTTCTAGTTTTTTATCCTAGCTCCTTGGTATTAGCTCTAATTTTGTTTCCTAGCTCCTTGGTATTAGCTCTAGTTTTGTTTCCTAGCTCATTGGTAGCGTTTCTAGTTTTTATCCTAGCTCATTGGTATTAGCTCTAGTTTTTTATCCTAGCTCCTTGGTATTAGCTCTAGTTTTGTTTCCTAGCTCATTGGTAGCAGCTCTAGTTTTGTTTCCTAGCTCATTGGTAGCAGCTCTAGTTTTGTTTCCTAGCTCCTTGATAGTGTCTCTAGTTTTGTTTCCTAGCTCCTTGGTAGCGTCTCTAGTTTTTTTCCTAGCTTCTAGGTATTAGCTCTAGTTTTATTTGTCAGCTCTTTCATAGTAGCCCTAATGGTGTTTCTTAGCACCTAGGTATTAGCTCTCGTTTTGTTTCCTAGCTCCTAGCTCCTTGGTAACCGCCACAATTGTTTTATTTCTTAATGCCTAACTGGCTGTTACAAAATATGCTGTTGTCTCCTACTCATTTTTAGAATTAGCCAGCTCAGTTCGGTTAAATTTCACTCCGGAGTGTATGCTAAATCGCTGTGCTGACTGTTACTCAGTCTCTGATACATTATACAAGGTATTAGTAACTGAGCTTCATGGACGATGGTTTGCTTTTAAGTGCTCTCCCAACAGCCAATAGCTTCCTGGAGGCTACTTCTTCACTAGATCTACTAGATCTGCCGAGCTGCTATTGAATTGGTAGATCTCACATTAGCTTGTAGTATTATAGTGGCTTGTAGTTCAGGTAAGTAGTTTAGGCAGCGGTTACTTGGAGAGCTAAGTGTACTCACTACTGGTATAACATTAGTTGTCTCTCTTCCTCTCTCTCTCTCTCTCTCTCTCTCTCTCTCTCTCTCTCTCTCTCTCTCTCTCTCTCTCTCTCTCTCTCTCTCTCTCTCTCTCTCTCTCTCTCTCTCTCTCTCTCTCTCTCTCTCTCTCTCTCTCTCTCTCTCTCTCTCTCTCTCTTCCTCTCGTTGCGTGCTGCTCGGATTGTAGTCTTTGTTAACATGCGCTTAGTACGCTGTATTTAGTAGATTTAGTTTACTCTTTAGTCTTATTTTCCGCTTTGAGTAGAGTGCTCGGTTGAAGGTAGTTTGTGTTTGTTTACAAGTTCCTAGCTCCTTGTTATCCTTGTTTACAAGTGCTGTGTGTTGAACTAGTTGTCAGTGTTAGTCTGCCCACTTACGACCTGTTAACCCCTTACTTACACAGTACATTGTATACTCCACTGTTCACTGAGTTTAACTTAAAATAACGGTAACATAATACCACGTTTAATACATAATTATTAGAATCCCTCATGTGATTAGTTATACTGTACCCTCTTTAGCTCGACTACAAGACAACTCATCGCTCTCAGTCTGGTTTAGTTAGTCGGAGTTTCCTGCCGTGTCTTGTCGTACCGTCACTCCTTGACGACACTAACCACGCTTATCTGATGGAGGGTGGAGCGGATCCAGACTCGGAACCGTATCAGCCCACTACGCCCAAGACACCCACCTTTCCTCAGCCCTCAGTACCGGTTGCGTCCAGCAGTCCTGTCCACTCCATCAGCACAACGCTTGCTCCTTCAGCTGCCATCTCGGGCAGCATCCTGACCAGTCCCCTCCTTCACTGGGGCTGGGGGACACTTCATGTACCCGCCAGGAATGTACTCTCAACTGCCTCCCCAGATACCACTACCTACTGCATCCGGTCAAGTTGTGTCTCTAGAGACACTGTCTAATCAGATCTTCACTCTATCACAGTGTGTTATGGGACTGTCGCAGAAGGTCAGTGATAATCAGCGGCTATTTGAGGAAAACATCCGACTGAAGGATATTGTCATTGATCTGGAGTTCAAACTGAAGGACGCGAACGACCGGGTGAAATCAATAGACGTGTTGCGAGAATCGATGACAGCGCAATTTGCGGAGTTGAACAAGAGTTTGCAGAACGGTAGCAGGCTGGAAACAATGATGTCTGTCCCAGAAAGCAGCCCAGAGGGGGCTGGTGTGTACGAGGAGGGTGGAGGGTACGAGTCTGTCCTCAACATCACCAACTCTTCCGAACCCTTCCAGAGTGATCTTCTAATACCTGAGAAAGGTAAGTGCTGCGCCCTGCTACATCCACGTCTTGTTAACTCGTTAATTGCCACGAATCAAATTTTTGCCTTTAAATTAACTGATTGGGCACCGGCTCAGCTTAGTTGGGTAAGTTATGAGCGAATTCAATTATGTTCTTTTCCTGTGTGAGGCGGTGAGTAACGTGATGTTAGAAGTGTACACAAGTGTACTTCTCTATTGTTATTAGCTTGCTTTGTTATGGACTCTCTTGAACCATTCGACCCTGACTCTAGCGGCACTTTCTCCGACTATGCTGAGAGGCTGGAGTTTTACTTCGAGTCCGTAGATTTGGACCTGTCCTCGGTCTTTCCGTCCGACCCTGATTATACCGCTAAATTGGAAAGACTAACATCTAAGAGAAGAGCTGTATTACTGTCGAACTGTGGTTCAAAGTGTTTTGAAGTACTGAAAAACCTGACGGCTCCCGTATCTGTTAAAGAGTCAAGTTACGAAGAACTCAAGGATCTCGCTATCCAACATTTTGATGGATCCACCAATCCAATCAAGGGTCGCTACGAGTTTTGTTCAAGATTTCGTGGTCCGAATGAGAGATTCTGTAAATTCCACAAAGACCTAACAGAACTAGCTCAGCACTGTAATTTTGGTAGGAGTTTGGAGGAGAGACTGAGAGATCAGATAATAGTGGGGATAAGAGATGAGGAGTTGGTGGATCAACTCACCGCGAATAAGAATCTCATTTACCAAGAAGCCGTTAAAATTTGTAGTGAACTTGACAAAGAAAAAATGGGTGAGAGTCTGCTTTGAGGACAGTGAAACATCTTCGACCTTAATATAATTATAATAGCTTATGAAGCACATTCCGATGTTTTTATTTATTATAATAATATGCACCATTCAATTTCACTTCTATTGTTTTGGAATGATAAGTGTAAATACCTCTTCCGTCTAAAATCTTTCAACGTAAACATCTGGGTTTGTTAAAACCATAAATCCGAATCTTAAGCCTGTTAGTCTCAAAACTCTCTACAATCTTCAAACCGTTGCATCCATCTTATTCTGTGTTGTCACATTTAAATCCTTTACATTTCCCAGGTAGCACTAATAAAAGGGATCCAGCTGTCCTTACTGCGGTTAAGTTGTGCTTTAGACCTATAGGCCGGCGTACGTAGGGGTTACCACCATCATTACAGATTGTTATTCGTCCGTAGCTCTCGTTGCTGTGAACCCTTCAACCGCTGCTATGATCATTTTCATCCTTATCTCCGTGTATCTATCCAATAGGATCTTATCGTGGTTTATAGCACCTAAAGTAATGAATTAATGATATATATACGAGGTTCCCTTCGAAAAAACATGTTTCACTTTTTCTTTGTTGTCTGGAAGTAGTCGTTGCTGTACGCTAAGTGGTCATATCTCCTTGTACAAACGTCTACGTTGCTCTGTGCTCATGTATCATGTATAAGCACATTTTGCTACAATCTCACCTGACATATGATATTACCATATAATATACCGAGTTCCACCTTTTAATACACAAGACATATTACCCATGTCTAAAGTAGGATACAATATAACTTATACCATGTTCAAGTTTTCTACAACTCCCCATTCCTCAGGTACCCTGAATCTACAGAACAGAGAGATGACTGTAATCCCAGACGATGTGTACAAACTTAACGATCCTGAATTGCTCCAGAACCTAGTGGGGTCTGATGATGATCTGAAGTGGTGGGAAACTGAACCCATCGCTAAACTTTATCTCTGCAGCAACAAAATCAGGTTTTTAACTTCTTACGATTTTAAACTTTTTTTTCAGTAATATTTCAGATTACACTTTACACTTTACAGATTAGCTGCTGCATTCCTTTGAAAGGACCACAAATTAAACTTTAAATCTCTAATTTCAGTATGATAACGCCAGCGATAGCAGGACTCAATTCTCTAACACTGCTAGATTTGAGAGATAACCAAATAGAGGTGAATCCTAGTAAAAGTGCTGTTCACGTTACATCTTACTGAAATTCTATACTTCGTTGTGTAATCAATACAGTCGTAATGTAGACATTTGATGACCGGCGCGGTTCATGAAAGTTATCAGGCCTATAAATGGGATAATCACCAATCGAAATTACATGAGATAAGCTGTAAGTTATCATGAGCTGTAAGTTATAACAATCTAAATATCCCGCTATAATGTACAATGCCGCTAACAACCCCCAATTCCGCAGAGTGTTCCTGATGAGCTGTCTCAACTAGAAGTGTTAGTTAGACTAGAGTTATCCCACAACAAGTTAACATCTCTACCTAACACCCTGGGTCAAGCTCTCCAGCACATCTCTCTGAATAACAACAACTTTGAGGTCATGCCCCCTGCTATTAGTGGTCTTAGGGCGCTTCAGACTCTAGATATGAGAGGTATGTGAGGTATTTGTGGTATGTTAAAACATAGTACTCACACTGTGTTAAACATTGAGTCGTGTTCTGTATGTATTATATATAATGATGTTAGCTGATGCTAACATTAGTCCGGTTGGGTGTTTTCCTGTTGGAATGCTTTGTTGTTACACCTCTTCAAGGATGTAGCCGCCCGCCTTCTGTTGACAGATGAGAACACTGTAAATCTAAGCTAAGGTCATCCGTCAAGAGCCAATACTTAAGACATGATGTTACACTGTTGCGTACTGAAGTCATAACTACATTGTCAAGTCAATAAATATCGAAACTTCTCTAATTTTTCTGAAAAACAGTTGTGCTGCTAAAAATATTTGATTGAGTTAGTACACTGGAATGTAAAATATGTAGAATATGTAGAATATGTAGAATATGTAGAATATGTAGAATATGTAGAATAACATGTAGAATATGTTATAACCCAACACTCTCCTCTCAGAGAACAGGTTGACAGGACTAGGAGAGCTCCCCTGCTGTCTACAGTCCCTTGTAGTAGACGACAACAAGCTAACAACACTACATCTGGAGAACCACCAGAGTCTGACTGCAGTTACTGCTACTAACAACGTTATAACTAGTTGTCGAGTTGGTAACCTCCCCCTGCTCAAGGTAGGTTCTATTAGAGCAGTATACATGTAATATACAATGTATAATGTATATAGTGTGCAATTAGTAGTGAGTGTGTCAGTTATTGTTGCTGGGTATTTGTGTACTCATTTTAATGTGGAAACGTTTATAAACGTGTCCACATTAAAATGAGTACACAAATACCCAAATGAATTTTGTATTTGTGGATGGAAATAAATGAGCAGCCAACCATCATACATTCAGTGAGGGCTGAAATTAAGAAAATATAAATAAATAAAAATATAAATACAAAATTCATTATCTACAGAATACAAAATGCCAAGTACTTATAATCAAACCCACCAAGGTGTTATCAGTACGAGTCAACAAGATAGAGTTCCTAGAGCCCATTATAAACTGTCCTGTGTTGGGTGAGATACTAGTGGGTAAGAACCTGATCAATAACCTGGACTTTGTGGTATCCTGTGCAGATACACTCACTGTTCTTGACTGTAGTGATAACAAGGTCAGTAACTTATATACTTATATAGTGAGATAGTATCCTTACAAGCGTACAGTCGCTCTGTATAACCTATCACCAAAATATACCAAATATTCTGCAAGTAAACTTACTTTTTAAGGCCATTCTTTAGGTATTCTGGTAACAATGATACTGAGCACTAAATTTCTAACCTCCATTCACCAGATATCAGTTCTGCCTGAAAGTATTATCTCCATGTCCAAACTAAAGAGACTGGATGTGAGTAACAATGACTTGAACAACTTGCCTCCACAATTGGCTCTGATGGACGACCTCAACTCTCTAGCGGTTGAGGGTAACCCTCTGAGGGCCATCAGGAGGGAGATTATAGCCAAGGGAACTGTAGCTATCAAGGAGTACCTCCAGTAAGAACGCAGATGTTTATTTCTTTTGAATAATATGGGCTTGGTATTTGTAACGGTTAGTTGTAACTCCATTTAGGGTATTTATAAAAATAAAATCAATAGTAAATGTTTTGTATCATGTTTTCTACCATGTATTCTAACATGAACACTGCCCAGGTTGAAGTTATCCCCCGAGGATGTGGAAGTATCAGGTCCCACAATCCCAGACATCCAACCAGACGAGATCATGCTGCAGACAAAAACCCTGGAAGTAGACAGAAAGACAACCTTTTCTGACGAATTATGGGATCAAGCCCTTGTGTGCGGAATCGTGAGGTTATCAATGCAGCACTGTGGTCTGACTGTGATACCTGAACAAGTGGTGAACTTGAGGGGGTGTCTGCAGGAGCTGGAGTTAGGGTCTAATAACTTACATCAGCTGCCTCCTGAGATTGGGAAACTGGTGAAGCTGAGGAAACTTAACCTCCTTAACAACAACCTCAAGGAGCTACCTGCTGAATGCAGGTTAGTTGGGCGCTTTTTTAGTTGTAGTTGAGTGTATTATAGTGTTTAATTTAGACCTGGCTTCTTAGTCGTGAGAGCAAATGATGAGTAACTTGAGCGAGCAGCGAAATTATACATTTATACATTGTAATTTTTATTAATACTTCAATTAATCTATGCATAATATAATGTACCAAGCATTATACATCTAAGCATTATACACAGCGAACTGTGTATATTTTACAATCTGGCAGTGCCTGAAACTGTGAACAAACACGTCATGATAACCTTGTGTTAATAACTTAATGTGTAATATTAGCGTGTTAACATTCTATAGTTGCATGATGCCGATAAGTAAAGGTAACAGATAATTACAAAACATATATATAATGTGAATTTATAAAACATATTTAATGTTTTATTCTCCAGTTCGCTTGTAGCTCTAGAAGACCTGAATCTGGGCCAAAACAAGTTTGAGGAGATTCCCGAGTGTCTCTATAGTTTTCCTGCTGTGTGTAACCTTATCATCTCTAACAATCAGATTAAGTCTGTCGAGGTAATTGACATTATTTTTTAGGTACATATATTTCACACTCAAAAACGCTAATTTCTGATTCAATTTCAAAGAAAAGTGTTGAAACTTGAAACAGATTAACAAATTGATAAAATCAAATTTCTTGAGTATCAAATATTTTATATCATGCCCATTTCAGCCGGCTAAATTGAGGACGATGACATCCCTAGTTTGTTTAGATCTGGAGAACAACAACCTTGGCAGACTGCCACCAGAGTTGTCTCTTATTCCTAACCTCCGAACTTTGCTTGTCTTGGGTAACAGGTTCAAGATTCCCCGCGCTGATGTGCTAGCGAAGGGAAGTGCCGAAGTCCTTGCTTGGCTCAAAAACAAGGTCCCACAATCTTGATGAACGTTAAGGATGGAATATTTGAGATCCCCGATCTATGACAGTTTCGTGTTTTTAATTTTAAATGTAGATACTTTTGTATGTAAGTTACTAAGTTTATTCCTTAAGCTGTCAAGGGATTGTTATCAAGTTATCTCAATATTTTGTGGTTTCACTAGTTGGTTATGAAATAATTAGATTAGCTAATTGAAGGTAAATTGTGTTATTTTGTTGTTATTTATTTTTTAATAAGGCAACTTTCATTGCATCAAAAACCATCTCTTTATATTACTTATGCTACCATTTATTTTTATTCTTCGGGAATTTTTGTGGACTTTCTGTTCTATTTAATTTCGGTTATTGATTCCATTTCTAATCACTGAGTTTGATTTGTTTCATGGCGCTACAATTCGTTAGGAACGACTCGTATAACCATGATGGAGCTTCCGTTAACTAAAAGATATTTGATGTATTATTTAAGACTAGACTGGTTACAACCCATGCAGGAAATTCGCTGCTCTATTATTATTGTTATAGTGAGACAGTTGTCGGGTTGTCCGCCTATATTTGAATCTGGATACAAAGTTGAATATCATTTGCGGTGATCAAGGAACCGTTATTTATTGTTAATCGTGTTGTGTCTGGAAGGATTAGATCACCATGTAGATAAAGTTTGGTCACATGTTCTGTGGTATTAGATCACCATGTAGATAAAGTTTGGTCACATGTTCTGTGGTATTCGCCGCAGCCGCCGCAGCCGCGAAGACCTATTCGAACTTTTGAAGACTTTGCCGCGCGCGCAAACTTTGATCCACGCGACGAGCATTAAAGGGGGGGGGGGTGTCACGTCCGTCTATGTCCGCTTGTCTCATAGAATCCAAAAAGGACAGGACATAGGCGGACATAGGCGGACATAGGCGGACATAGGCGGACATAGACGGACATAGGCGGACATAGACGGACATAGGCGGACATTGGCGGACATAGACGGACATTAGCGGACAAAAACGGACAAAAATGGACAAAAACGGACAAAAATGGAAATAACATTTAGATGCTTCCTCCTCCTACTCTTCCTCCTCCTCCTCCTGGGTCTTCCTGATCTTCCTCAGTCCTCTTCCTCCTCCCCTCCTCAGTCCTCCTCCTACTCCTCCTCCTCGTCCTCAGTCCTCCTCATCAGTCCTCAACAGTCTTCCTCCTCCCCAGTCCTCCTCCTCCTCCTGAGTCCTCCTCCTGGGTCCTCCTCCTGGGTCCTCCTCCTCCTCTTCATCCTCCTCCTCTTCCTCCTCAGTCCTCAGTCCTCCTCAGTCCTCCTCCTCATCCTTCTCTTCAGTCCTCCATCCTCCTCCTCAGTCCTCCCCAGTCCCCCTCCTCCTCCTCCTATTCAGTCCTCCTCCTCCTCCTCCTCCTCCTCAGTCCTCCTCCTTCTCAGTCCTCCTCAGTCCTCCTCCTCCTCCTCCTCTTCCTCTTCCCTCTCAGTCATCCTCCTCAGTCCTCCTCCTCAGTCCTCCTCCTCCTGGGTCCTCCTCCTCCTCTTCATCCTCCTCCTCTTCCTCCTCGGTCCTCAGTCCTCCTCCTCATCCTTCTCATCAGTCCTCCTACTCCTCAGTCCTCTCCCAGTCCCCCTCCTTCTCCTCCTCCTATTCAGTCCTCCTCCTCCTCCTCCTCCTCCTCCTCAGTTCTCCTCAGTCCTCCTTATCATTTCTCCTAAGTCCTCCTCCTGAGTCCTCTTCCTCCTGAGTCCTCCTCCTGAGTCCTCCTCCTCCTCCCTCTCAGTCATCCTCCTCAGTCATCCTCCTCAGCCATCCTCCTCAGCCATCCTCCTCAGTACTCCTCAGTCCTCCTCCTTCTCAGTCATGTCAGTCCTCCTCCTCAGTCCTCCTGAGTCCTCCTCCTCCTCCTCCTGGGTCCTCCTCCTGGGTCTTCCTGATCCTCCCCAGTCCTCTTCCTCCTCCCCTCCTCAGTCCTCCTCCTACTCCTCCTCCTCGTCCTCAGTTCTCCACATCAGTCCTCAACAGTCATCCTCCTCCCCAGTCCTCCTCTTCCTCCTGGGGCCTTTTCCTGGGTCCTCCTCCTGGGTCCTCCTCCTCCTGGGTCCTCCTTCTCCTCCTCAGTCCTTCTCCTCCTCCTCAGTCCTCTTCCTCCTCTTCCTCCTCCTCTTCCCTCTCAGTCATCCTCCTCAGCCATCCTCCTGAGTCCTCCTCATTCTCAGTCCTCCTGAGTCATCCTCCTGAGTCCTCCTCCTCCTGAGTCATCCTCCTCAGTTCTCCTCCTCCTCCTCCTAGGTCCTCCTTCTGGGTCCTCCTCCTCCTCCTCCTCCTGGGTCTTCCTGATCCTCCTCCTCCCTCTCAGTCATCCTCCTCAGTCATCCTCCTCAGTCCTCCTCCTTCTCAGTCCTCCTGAGTCCTCCTCCTGAGTCCTCCTCCTCCTGAATCATCCTCCTCAGTTCTCCTCCTCCTCCTCCTAGGTCCTCCTTCTGGGTCCTTCTCCTCCTCCTCAGTCCTCTTCCTCCTCTTCCTCCTCCTCCTCCCTCTCGGTCATCCTCCTCAGCCATCCTCCTCAGTCCTCCTCCTTCTCAGTCCTCCTGAGTCCTCCTCCTGAGTCCTCTTCCTCCTGAGTCATCCTCCTCAGTTCTCCTCAGCTCCTCCTCCTCCTAGGTCCTCCTTCTGGGTCCTCCTCCTCCTCCTCCTCCTGGGTCTTCCTGATCCTCCTCCTCCCTCTCAGTCATCCTCCTCAGTCATCCTCCTCAGTCATCCTCCTCAGCCATCCTCCTCAGCCATCCTCCTCAGCCATCCTCCTCAGCCATCCTCCTCAGTACTCTTCAGTACTCTTCAGTACTCCTCCTTCTCAGTCCTCCTCAGTCCTCCTCAGTCCTCCTCAGTCCTCCTCCTGAGTCCTCCTCCTCCTGAGTCATCATCCTGAGTCCTCCTCCTCCTCCTCTGGGTCCTCCTGGGTCCTCCTCCTGGGTCCTCCTCCTGGGTCTTCCTGATCCTCCCCAGTTCTCTTCCTCCTCCCCTCCTCAGTCCTTCTCCTACTCCTCGTCCTCAGTCCTCCTCATCAGTCCTCAACAGTCCTCCTCCTCCCCAGTCCTACTCCTCCTCCTCCTCCTCCTCCTGGGGCCTTTTCCTGGGTCCCTATATAATTTGATATAATAAGTTAAAGCTATTAATAGCTTTAGTGTGATTAATAAGTCGTTTGTTTTGTACAAGATTATAATACAAGTTGCGAAAAATTCTCAAAATGTTTGTCCGCTAATGTCCACCAATGTCCGCTAATGTCCACCAATGTCCGTCCGAGTCCGCCTATGTCCGTCCGGGTCCGCCTATGTCCGTCCGAGTCCGCCAATGTCCGTCCGAGTCCGCCAATGTCCGTCCGTGTCCGCCAATGTCCCGAAAAACACGTCCGTTGTCTCATAGAATCCAAAAAGGACAGGACATAGGCGGACATAGACGGACATGACACCCCCCCCCCCCCCCCCCCCCCCCATTAAATTAATTGCATGCGCTGCATGCAGTAGTGTATTCAATACATATTGGCCCCACAAGTAGGAAATAAAATAAGGACCTCTGTTCAAATCAAAATAAAAGTGTTTTTCGTCAGATTGATATTTGTAAGTTAGTCAAGTTATTTAGCAGATTCTTTAGTAGGTTGTGCCTAGATGCTCCTTCATAAAGATGAAATTGCTAGGTAACCTCCTGATCCCTACTAATAGGACACATCGCACGTGCTAATTATCAATTTTGATATTTCCACATTCATACGCTTGAAAAGACCACTCGTATAACTATCCTTAATCATTTAAAATGGTTTTATCTACACTCTTCAACAAAAGATCTAGTTACGAGATCACAGAGGTTGAAAGCATCAACATCGAACCTGATTTCTTGGTTCCCGCCTCACTCGGATCAAACTGTCGCGAGGAAAGAAATGGCTCCTTCGCTCTTCCAGGATTTATTGGAGAAGATACAGAGGTTCTTGAATGTGCTGATTGGACCGAATCCTTCATAAATTGTGAAGAGACTAAAGCCATGCCTTCCTTTAATTTACTCCCCAATTGTAGGTTTACAACCTACCAGGACGCGCGCCGAGTTGGACTCGTCGACGGTCCTGTGGAACAGATATTTTACGAGTATCACCCGTTAACTCCCCAATGGAAGAAGGAGGAAGAGTTTCCGAACGAAGATTAGGAACTCTTTCAATAGAAAATTGAATTTCCGAAGAGCTGCGTACGCAGTCGATAGTCGGACTACATCGTTGGGAGACAGTCTTACTGCATCATCAAAGATGTTAAAGACTTTTGTCCGTGGCACCATGGAACGGCTGAGGCCAACTGAGGCTTCCTGGGCAGACTTTGACGAGCTGTTCAGTGGAAACAACCCACAGTTCATCCCATTCATGAACATGAACCCTATGACAAGAATATGAAGAGGTCTTTGGAGTTTGGAGAATACAAAAAGGAAACTTAAAGTCTAAAGAAGACCAAAACTGACGTACAAATCTTGTAGGTTTATAAGCTGCTAATGCAAACATCACAAAGAGAAATTACCGAAGTTCCCTCCGAAGATTTAGGCAAAACTGACGACGAAGAAACAAAATTGCATTTCACATTATTTATTACTTATTATTGTTGCTATTATTACAAAAGGTGAAAAAAACTGAAAAAACCCCAAAAAGTACAAAAAAATATGTATTCCATAAACACAAAAAAATATTTTCTATTTATTCTTACCACTTTCCGAGACCCGGATTTATAATTTTATTTTTACTTGTACTAAAAACTAATTATAAGCGACCAAATCGAGGACAATCTTACTGGGCCGCGCTCAGCCTGTCATTCCGCCTAATCTCTATTCACATGATAGCCTGAGGTCCCCAGGTAAGGACAATCAAATTCATAACTGGAAAAACTGTATCTTCTGGTACGGTGTGATGAATTCAATCAAATATTACTATTAGTAATAGTATTACGCTATAATGGCGCAGGAGGGTCAACCTGAAAAGAACATTGCTTGACCCTCCTGCCCCACCGCATGGATCAGGAGGTTCATTTCAGAAACAGTGCTTGACCCTCCTGCCCCACCACATGGATCAGGAGGTTCATTTCAGAAAAAACAGTGCTTGACCCTCCTGCCCCACCACATGGATTACGGGGGTCACCCACAAAAACAGTGCTTGACCCTCCTGCCCCACCACATGGATTACGGGGGTCACCCACAAGACCATGTGCGCTGCACTTATTTCTACATCGCGCGCGATACGTGTGTGCGTGATTACATGAAATATTACCGCGCCCTACGCCAAGTAGACGAAAAGCGTGGTCGAAGAGCGAGAGTCGGTACAATAAATAAAACGAGAGTTGGTACATTTAACTGGCAT